CAGAGTACAAGAGTGTCTTTAGGCGTAGCTGAGTCATTGTTACACTGACAGCAAGGGCAAAAAGGCAAACTAACAGAAGGAATCACAGTACCTCACACATCAACACACTTCAGGGGGGGGAAGGAAGGGAAGAAATCACAAGCCAGCAAGAGAAAAAGAACGCCTCTCCTAGTCTACACATCACCCAGCACACGATGTTTTATGGGTTGGGTGTTCAGGCACACTTCTTGCTGGATCCTGTTGGCTACCAACAACCCGACAGGGATTTGGAAACAGACAGCAATATTCCCAAGACAGAAGGAAAATATGGAACCTCTGAGATGGAAAATGTCCTGGAAAAACAGAGCAGCTCCCCCCACCCACCCCTTTATCCCCAGACCTGTACAAAAGGGACAGACAACTCTGAGAGGTCACTATGAAATGATGTGCCACCTTAGTTGTTCTTGGCACTTTGCTGGTGAGTAGTCAACTTGCTCACATTAACAGGCAGTATCTACCTGTGGGTGTGCAACTGAAATGTAAACTGCTTTGAATAACCACGGGAGGGTCCAGCAGAAACCAGCCAGAGCCTGGAGAGAGGGAAAGGTCTTCAGAGGCTGGAAGGTTTTCCTGGGAAGCACGGGTAACTTTGGAAAACAATAGTGGGCAACCCTATAGAATTTGTTTAAGTCTAGTGCCCACAGTGCACAAACTGTCTCTGCCACTGTCAACAAAGCTTCTTCCACTACATCTGGGAAGCTCTCCTCCCAACCAGAACTCACATCCGACACCCCTACTTAAATATTTCCCTTGGGTCTGGCTATGACTGTAACCCATTACCACATGGAATTAAAAAGAAACCCATGAGAAACAAACCAGTTTCACTCAGCATGACTTCAGGAAAATGACCTACAAATGGTTCCTACAAGTTTAGCAGTTGCTAGCTGTTGTGATTGTTGTTTTAAGGCTTTTCCCAAGAAAATCTGAAGAGGGCACTGGAAAATACATGGGCTCTGGGTGCCACGTGAGCTGCAGACAGTGTCTTCTCCAGCTGGCCTGTTGGCCCATGCTGGGCTGGGTGTGTTTATTGCAGCCCCTTTTGTACGTGCCATTGGTGCATCTCTGGCTGGAATAGAAAGGTGGATAGGGAACACCAACACGGGGAGTTCAGGCTTTGGGTTAGGCAAATACAGAAAGACCATGCTTATATTGGGGTCTTTGTGTGACCATGAAAATGAGCCCAATGGGTCTACCTTCCACCAGCACCTTTTCACTGGCATTGCAAAGTGGTTTGCACATCCACTGCCTGTGTAACTGGCCCCCTTTTCCCCCCTCCTCCATTCTGGCCACCAAGGAAGCTGCACCAATGGCTTGCTGTAAGGACCCATCCATCTGCAGTCGTTGAGTTCAGGAGGCTGAAGAGGTTTAAATGCTGTATGGAACAGAGGGTTTTGAAGACAATGCTGGGCAAACTGAACAAACCCAGAAACTCACCTCCAGAAACAACAAAGCAAGGAAAATGCTAAACAGAAAACAAAATAAATCACAAAAATAAGAATGAAACAATGGGTTCAAAGTAAAATGCAAGAACACACGTTAAACAGCTATTCTGGTTTAAACCAAACATTACAACAAGGACAGAAACAACCTCCCAGCCTAGGTTTTAATTCTGAAAAAAAACCACAAAACAAATAGGCTCAAGGATAGAGTTCACCAGGTGGAAAAACAAACTCCACTCAGACAAATTTGTTCACATTGAGTCCCTTTGGTGGAGCAGAAGACAAACCAGAGAAATCCTGGGAGATTGATGAAGTGAGAGCTACAAACCAAGTGCAGGTAGAACACTGTAATAAAGCACTTGGACTCAGTTGCAAGATAGATGATATCGCAATGCCACTGTAATAATGAGTATATTATTAAAACAGATCCCCAAGACACCATAGAGCTTCACCATCTATCAACCACAAGACAATTTGTGGCTCACACAGCAGCCTATTGCAGGTGAAGGCTCCTCTTCAGACCCTCTAAGCAGGCTGAAATGTTAAATAAGCAACCAGTTTCTTATGCCTAGGAAATGACATTTTGCAACTAATGCTATAACTTGAACATTTCCTGAAGGTCAGTTATGAAGAGAGCCTTGAATGGCAAAGGAGAGCAGAACTGGTGGAGATAAACTGCAGGCACAGGAGCATACAAACCATGGGTGCAATGCCAGGAAAAACTCCAGAGGTAGAGGAGCAGATACAACACTACGGAGTATGGAATGGCTTGGAAGGAGGCTTAAGGGAAGATACAGACTCTCAGTCCTTGATGTAGGACTGACAAGGGAAAGAAGCAAAACAGCAAGCACAGCACCTCATTGGTGAGAAGGCAGAATGACCGATATGACTTTCCACCAGCCTCAGCCCCAGGATGGCTTTATCACCTTTATGGGAGGAGGACAGGAACACCAGGAACACGAACATCATGACTAAGGGAATGCAAGTCATGGTGCCCTCTGCATCAATCCATGCTGTTGATGCCTTGTTGTTACAGAAATTCATTTTCATATGTATGAAAATAAAATCAAGTTATAAAACTAAAAAATGATTCCTTAGGAGAAAATAAAAATATAAACTGGAAGAGGAGACCCATCTTTGCAGCAGGTCTTTGGTAGCTCAGTCCCAGATTTCACAGCCCCTCCTTACCACTCACTGTGGGGTGCCCAACTTCTACATAGGTTTGCTTTTTGTGATGGTATTTCCATACACCAAATATGCTGTTCCCAAGTGTGCCCAGCACTTGGATTCATTCTTGGCATGTCTAGCTCTGAATTGCATCAGAGATTTGACCTAACAAGTCTTGCCATCAACATGGCATTTACTCCATCTTCAGGACCTCTGTGCAGCTGAAGAGCATAAGAAATGAAGTAGCAGGGTACAGTTGCCTGTCAACCATGGGTCCCATCATCAGCCCTACCGTTCTGGATGTAAGGGATAGGTACTGCAAGACTTAAGGCTCTAGCTGCTAAGACCCTTTGGAGTTTGCTGTGGATGAATTAATGTATTAAGCAAATTGCTTTGGTATGCATTTGTTAAATATCTTTTGGATCATGAGCCAGCAATCCATCCATACACCTATTTCTGCCTCACAAAACACCTGACTTCTCTCTTGCCCTCTCCTCTATGTCATCATCCACTTGGTCATCAACAGATTGACCTTAACACATTTGTTTTTCAGAACAGAGCCCTGCAAGCTTTGGGGGTGGACTGGGAAGCACTTCATTGACACTGAGGCAGAGAAAAGGAGAAGTCACACAGTGACTGTTAGGTGATGTTTCCCATAGAGCATGCACGATGCTGCCATGGTTAGTAGATGTGAAAGCAACCAACTGCACCTTCAGATGTGCTCACTTGTAAAGCCTCATTACCTGCCTGTACAGATGTGGCAGGTGGGGGTTTGGGCAGATACAATGTGAGGAAAATAAGCAGAAATCCATGATTTTGTACTCACTTTCAACTGTGGTCACAAACCTGGCCCTGTGGTATTGAAAGCCAGGTGAAAGTCTGCTGAAAAATCATGGAATAAGGTTATTCTAAAGCTAACAATGTGGTGCAAAATCTTAGCTCCGTTTTCTGCTTTATGAGAACTCTTCACATGCATTTGATTAATACAGGAAGAAAATAAGCATCATCATCTTGCATTTTAAAATAACACTACCAGGAAATTCATCAAAGAACAAGAGCAAATATCCTCATTTGACTTCTTTTCAAGACTAGACAGGAAATCATTGTAAGAAAAAGATCATATTTAAACCCAACAAAGAGACACAGAATAAATAGAAGCTGATTAAAGCAGTAATGGCAAAATAAAATGCTAAGAGGAATAAAATAGCCAAATGAATAATATCCTTATCCTTCACATACAATGAACTGGCTTCATTTGGCCTATTGTCTTTGACAAAGCGAGTTAAACTCCCAGTAACAAGGGTCTCAAGAGATTGACCCTGATGGAACAAACAGGGATCTTGCTGCATTTCAGATGCTTTGCAATAAAATTGAACACAAAATTTCTTTTCCTATGCTTGAGCTTCCCCAGCCTTTGGAGGTCTCCCCTGCAAAAGGGATCTGAGAAACTTCAGAAGCTTTCAGTAAAATCTGAGGAACAACCTGTTTTTTTTTTGATGCTGATGGTCCTGATGCTAAAATTCCAGAAGAATTAAATGAACCCTTAAGAAGAGCACAGCTCTTGGTAAATCCATGCAAGGTAGGCACGTATCAAACTCCAGCCCGTAATCCCACACAGGCAGAACTCTGCACTGACCTCAGCAACATCTGGGACAAGTATTTCCACCAACATAGAATTTTTTTCACATCAGTTTAGATCCATATATATGAAAAAGTGGTCCCCAAGTCAATATTATTTTTAAGGATTCTGGTATCACAGAGTCCGTGCTCAGGTCCACATCCATGCAGAAAAGCCTGACTCTGAAAATGCAAATTGATGTTTCTCGCTACAAACTACTGACTGTTCACATAAGTGATTTTATTCAACCCAGCTCTCTTTCAAACAGCAAAAAGAGCATTCAAGCGTATTTTTCAGTCTGATATTTAGGGGAATGCCTTAACACTTAAATTTTCAAAGCAGAAATTATTGAAAAATAGTTATTATGTGCCATTGAAAAATAGTTATTATGTGTAACATCCCTCCTGTAATTGCAAACCCAAAGTGAACGGATTTGTTAACACTTCACCTGGTGAAATCTATCCTAGGACAGCTTAAAAAAAATCATCTAAAAACCAAGCTATTTATAGTAGGGCAAAAGATGACGCATTACAAAGAAAACCAGACTTAAATACTGAATTAAATACATGGTTAAACGATCAGTTCTGAAGTATTCAGTCCACATAAAGCCCTGTCAGTAACAGATATAAAAGGGCTCACAGAAGACTATGGGATGCTCATGCTGAACAGACACATACTGACACTGAAATACAGAAACCAAACAATATAAAGTTCCCAAGTATCAAAGTCATGCTTACGCAGCTATGGAGATGTTGGCTGCAGACATGGGGCTGACTTCTGCCACCTCCTTGGCCTTTTGCAGGGCGAGCTTTTGATTGGTGGCTTCCTCCATCTCCTCCTCATCCTGGTGCAGAAAACCAAGAGAAATCAGAGCGTGCATCACGCAAGGACAGTGACCAGAGCTCTCCAAGGCACGAGTCATACGTGAACATCACCACTCTGCTGTGAGAACAGTGGAAACTCATTAATATAAGTCATAATTCCGTAACTTGTAGGGACGCCTGGGTAGGGTCTTGGTGCCAGCCACAGCGGGTTGAGATGAGAAATGCAAGGTTTGGTCAAGTGCTCAGTGCATTTTTACCAAGGTTACATCTTCCTTGCAAAGCTTACCTCTCTTGGGTCTCCTCTTAGCCCTGGGGAAGGAGACTGGCAGAGCACGGAGAGACCTAACCACAAGCGTGACACTTCTGGGGTGAGGTGAGCCCCATCACTCTAAAGCCTAAGTCCCCATCACTCTTAAGCCTAAGTCCTATAGAAATGCATGAAACAGACTCCTAAATCCTTCATGACTTCTTCCCAGCATGACTTTTCTGAAACAGTAAGTGTAATAAACAGCAGACTTGACTGGTCCTGCTCACACCAGCTTTACTCCAATAGTTCCAATTATTTCAGTTGAATCACTGAAGACTTACAGGGTGACAACAGAAAGGAGGAGCCGTATTCAAGCATAGTCTGTAGACTCAAGCACTATAACCATCAGAAAGACGGTTATAGTCATGTTTTCTGCATATATCCCAGATCATGTGGATTTTTAACCTCTGTTGGCACAGCAAGTTCCCTCAGAATGTAACTGTGATTTATTTCCTCCTACCCATTGTAATGGGAAGAGAAACACTGTTCAAATTCAGAATAAAGGGTCTCAGGCAATGAGATGAGGGCAAAAAGCAAAGAAAGAACCTGGTTCATCTTCAGTGGTGGCCTAGGCTAAACTTCCCTTACGCTTTCAAGGCAGTGCAATCAGTAAAATCCTGGCAGGATAAACACAGACCCTCTGATGGCAATAGCAGCATCACACATACTCAGGGAATAACCACATGTCACAACGAGAGCAACGACAGGCTCTGCTGTCAAGTTTTATGAAATGCCACAGATCTACTTCTGCTCTTCAGTGGTAATGTTGTGAAAGAGTTATGCTTAAAATAATGAGAGCAGACAGCAAGGCATCTAGCTCTGAAACGGGAAATCATCCAGATTTATCTATCCTGAATACCATATGCATAAACAATTCTACCCGATGTAAAGAGCAGGAAAGGTCTTGATTCTGTGTAAGCACTGCTCAGCAGTAACTGAAACATCCTTGCGTGATCAACACTGCAGCAAAAATCCAAAACAACACCCCACACCAGCTTCTGTAAAGAAAATTGACTCTACCCCAGCCAAAGCCAGCACAAAGGGTATCTGCAGAACATCAAGCTTTTGAGGAAGAAGACCTGCAATAAGAAGGCTTTTCTGATTTTCTTTTCATTCCACAGGTATGTTTAAGTTGTTTCGTCTCTTGAGGACCCTCTAGCAGTGTTAAAATCACATATGTTCAAAGGCTTTTGATTTTTCTTTCTCTGAACCTAAAGCACCAGGTGCAGTTTTATCCATCTCTTTAGAATCTGTAGCTTCTACTCCATTCATCCTGGTTCATCAATAATTCTGCTGGATTCCTTATCTTGAAGTAAAAGCAGAAAATATCTGCTCTCATTACAAATGCAGCCATCCCTAACTCAGAACAAGCCCACTCTTTAGCAGATGACTGCTTAATAACATTTCTGTAGCTCCTTTCATCCAGAGATTGCAGATCACTACAAAAGTTAATTAACTTTTTGCCTAATACTTACACTGCCAGGTCCCACTGGGGCACAAGCTCATCTTCTTCTACTTGGAACGTACAGGGCTGTGATGGTGTATGACTGAAGCCAGCTCTGAGCTGTGATGGCAACACCCATCCATCCATCCATCCATCCATCCATCCATCCATCCATCCATCCATCCATCCCAGCAACAGCCAGCTGTCACCGTCATCATACAGGGGCAAGTGCATACAAAGACCCTACCTATAAGGACATCTCTCTTTGATGTTTCCTTTCTGTTTTCTAGAGCTCTAAATCCCCATTTCAATCACAGCGTATCGCATGGTAAAACCCTCCTTCAGGGCTACCCATAATGATGCACATAGTTAATACTGACCATTCGTTATCAAGTTCACCCAATGAAAGACACCTCTCCATTGGGGAGGAGGAGGAGGGCTCTTCACACCTGAAGACTCCTGGGTTTGTGCTCACTTCAGTCAGTCCATTATTTCTGGGGATTTTTCAACTTTGTAATATATTTCTATGTAAAATTCACACATCATCCCCACCCCTCATTGCATGGGTTTCTGCTGCTGCCCCAGGGACTGCTGGCAGTGCTCTTAGTACTCTAGGATATTGAGGAAAATAAAGGGTCACTTACGGTGACTTCACATGCCAGTGTAAGGAGGATGGAGAACTGCTGTGTGTCACTGGAGATGATGTGGGAATGTCAGCAGAAAGTATTTTCAAAGCAAACTCTGCAGTGCATTTTTGATTCTACTATGAGTAAGTGAGCAGGAAGAAAACACTGCCAATATATGGAAATAACTACAGGGTACATAGGCATATATATACACCCTGGCATATATATCTCATATGTATAGGCATATATATATGCCTATAAATACCTATGTATCACTTAATTTCTAGTAATCTCTCAGAACTGTCCTGGATCTACCTGGGCTGCCTACATATGGAGATGTGTGTATATATATGCCTATATGTATAGGCATATATATAGGCCTGTATATACCCATATATAGAGGCCTATATATATACACATATACCTAATAACTATATATATACATATATACAGAACTACTTATATATAACATAATAACTATATATATATAGGCTTATATATACAGCCATATATATACAGCCATATATATATTTATATATCTCCATATATAGGCAGCCCAGACAGATTCAGGACAGTTCTGAGGCATCATTAGGAATTAAGCTGACAGAGTTTAAGTCAGTGCTAAGGAGGAGCCAGAACAGAAAGAGCAGGAGAGAGACCTGGGGAGGGAGAGGAGGAGGCTGGAGAGCAGATTATTTAGATACTGAAAGCAAAGAAGGTGATCCTTTCTTTCCCCAAAATGAGTCATTCCAGTGTCTGTTCCAAAACTCACAAGTACTTTGGATGATCAAGCTTAAGTTAAATATAGTTATAACTCTGATAACTTCTGTTACAGGTCACAAGGCCCAGCTAAGGCTACTGAGAAATGTTCAAATGCCACGATAAAAGAAGTCCAAATTAGCATCCAGAACTGGAACTGTTGGTTGGAATGTTTCAGTCCTGCCGTTTAGCAGGAAACCTTTCTGTCTTTCTAAACCAGAGGCAGCTGCAAACTGCTTATGGTTTCCCCACACGATATGCAGCACTGATCGCGATTAGTTTTACAATAAAAATGTCAAGAAAGTCTCCTGAGATCAACTGACTCCTGAGTAACTTAATTAGATCTCCGGGCCATTTTGGGGTTTGCATGATCATATTTACTTCGCAATAAATCCCTCATTCTCCAGGTATGCCATCCAATTGAATTACTTTCATCTTTTCCCTCTTCTTTAGAAAGCCCTAGTGTTTTGGGGGGTTCAGAAATAAAATTAAAGCCAAAAAAAACCAAAAGTTTGTTCAAGAAGCTTTATGATTTGGCAATGCTGCAGAATCCATTAATATTTAATTATAGAATCATAGAGTCAACATCAAAAAAGGCAGGTTCCTAACTGTCCCAGTCAGCTCCTGAAATATTCACAAGAAAGCACTTAAAGGATTAAGAAAGAAGTAGGATGAGCTTCATTATCGAAGACCCTTGCAGGGCCCGGCTCCCTCTCTCAGCACATGCAAGGCATGCCCCGAGATCTCCAGAACAGGCTGGGAGGATGCTGCCTCCAGGCTGGAGGTTTCTGGGGGCTTTAGAAAGAATAGAAAGAGCTGAGGAGCAAGTGAAAAACTTCCCAGAGAAAACAGAGAGTGATTAAACACAGCCCTGAGATGCATTATGAGAGAGGATGGATGCAGAACATGGTCTCAGAGACATAGGAACATTCACCATACACCTGAGAACCACAAGCCTTCTTGTATGGTCTGTGCTGGGTATCAGCTGTCAGGAAACAAGGCTCAGCTAAAGCTGGAAGCTGAAGCCAGTCACGCAGCTCCACAGTACAAAGGCAGAGCCGGAGCTTTGTTTTGTCTCTCAGCTGCAAAAACATGGATTTTAACAGAGAGGGGTTGGCTGCTTTGGTCTCAACAGCTGGAGCGGGGTAGGAAACCCCTAGAAGTCTCCGTGTCCCTGAACTGTGGAGTTGCATTGCGTATCCATGAACTACTGCACTTTTCCACAGCTCTAAAAGAGAAAACATCCTTGCCTGCTGCTGCATAAGCACATGGTTAGTGATCCTCTGAAGGAGTATATAAGCTAAAGCTTGTAAAATACAACTGCTAAAGTGGATATGGTGCTACTTTTGCCACTAACTTATGGGAGAGGGATGGACCTAGATGATCTTTAAGACTCCTTCCAACCCAAACCAGTCTGTGATTCTATGACAGCAGCAGCACAGCAATGGAGCGTGTGGGATTTTATCCACTCAGTGAGAACAAGCTAGAAACGTGCACACAAAATTTAATGCTGCCTCGTAAATACAGCTGAGTATGCCACAATGAGAAATCAAAAGTATGCAATAATACAAACTGCACCACTTGCAATCCTTCCTGCTCCATACTGAGGCTAGAAGGTTTTCTCCATAGGGAATGCTCCAATATAAACCTGCACATAAAGTTGTATCGGTGCCATTTCCCTCTCTTGCCAGTACCTGGCTTTCTGCTGGTGCCTTGGATTTCTCCTGCTCCTGGTGAGAGGCAGGAAAATTATACCCTCTTCAGTGAGTATTCACAACAGCCTCTGCAAGTTGTGTTCCAGAGTTGATTAGAGAATGTTAGTTCTTTGATTCATCCCAAAACTCAGCAAGGCATGAAGCATCAGCATGAGACAATCAAAGTAGCAACACAACACTTGCATTACCCCACGTCTAAGCTTCAGGTCAGCCAAAACCCTTTAATTGCTTCACCTCTGCTCTTGAAAACAGCAAATGCTACCAGTGCCTGTGCACCTCCATGCAGCAGCGAGGTGAGCAATGCCCACTGCCCACTCTGTGATAAAACAAAGCTGAAAACATGAAATAATTCAATGAAACAAGCCTGAAATGGAATAAACCTGAACAAGAATAAACCTCCAGGTCCTTCTCTGCAACACAAACTGGTTAACAGAGGCACCACATTAACAGGCTCTAGAGGACATCTCAGGGTGCCTGGAAGGGTTGGCAATGTGCGTTTTAGATCAGCAACTGCGGTCTGAGTTTGAAGAAATAGAAATCTCATACATACCTTGGTCAGCTCTTGGGCATTTGCCAGATTGTCCACAGCAATAGCCAAGAAGACATTCAGGAGAGTATCTTTGGGGAAGCAACTAAGGAAAACACCTTCACACAGCAGATACAGTAAACCATCCCCCTGCTGCTGCCACTACCCTTGTTTTCCCACTTATAACCATCAGTATATTACACATTGGCCCCTTGCACCACTGCTTTGTCTTCATCTCTAATCCACCTCCTTCTCCTGGGAGACAGCTCTGCAGGACAGTGGGTGCTAGACACCCATTTATCTCTTTCCCAGCACATATCCCTGATGAGGATACACACAAGGGCTTTACAACACTAGAGGTGCCACTGGTATGAGACCATGTGGTGGTCTTGGAGACAGAAGTGACCCTTATTTTCATTCCAGAAAATCCACACCTCTGGTCCTGCCCATAGACAGACAGACACACACAGGATTTCACCTTCAGTTTTCCCCTCTTGTTTCAAAGAACAACCAGTAGAGCTCCTGGAAATCAGTCTTTTTAAAGCCAACATTTGCATAATATATACATACAGCTATATAAAGGCGGAGGGTACCATAATAAAGTTAAGCTCAGATCACTGCTGCATTTCATACTGGGCGGGAGGTCCCATCATGACTTATCACACTGAAGTCGATATCACAATTAGGCCTCCACAGACATTCTTTATCCTCAGTGCTGCAGCAGCCCACACAGCACAACTACAGAAGAGCCTGTTAGAAGGACATCCAGCTCAAGTTAATGAGTTCTGCTGAGAAACAGGCCATTAGCCCAGACCAAATTGCATGTAGCCCAGTTAAAGAACCACAGTGCTACTCTAGCTTGGTTCTCTCTGCAGAATACTGCATTATATCACTAAGATGTAACATGGCTCACACTATTTATTCATATTCTACTTTGATTTTTCCATCTAATGATTTCAGCTGTTACTTGTCTCTTCATATATTTTGCTGTTATTCCAGCAATGTGTCTGCAAACCAGCACCAAAACAATTGTAAATCAGATACCTCTGCATGGGAAAGGAGAGCAAGCAAAGCAAAACTAAGTCTAAACCGCTTTCCAAGAAGAAAATGAAGGCTTTGAACAATCTGCTCTAGTGGGAGGTGTCCCTTCCCATGGCAGGGTGCTGGAACTGGATAAGCCTTAAGGTCAGTTCCAACCCAAACCAGACTGGAATTCTATGATCTTGCTTTTGCACATTACCCGGTGACAGGAGAGTCACTTCATAGCTGTGTAACACTATGATTGCTCCTCTAAATATGAATGCACATGAGAATGAGGTTGATTTCACGAGTATTTCCCCAAAGGCTTCAAGAGTGATGAGCCGCTGCAGTGTTTGCATTGCGCTGTCCTCACCAGAGCCAAATCCCAGTCAGGGACCAGTTACAGGTTCCTGTAAACTGAGCTAAAGGACTGCAGCAGTTTTACACAATTAACCCAGTTATTTCCTACTGGTTTAATGTGCCCCCTGTTTTGGACCTGAGTTGGAAGCAATGTCCAAAGCAAGGCTGCAGGGAAGGCAGGACAGTGGGATGAGGCTGGTGTGCAGGGGGGAGCCAGGCAATGGCTCCATGAGGGGGACTGTGAGCTCTCAGACTTCTGTCAAACCTGCAGTGAGACACTGGGAAAGCTTGGCCTCGGTGCCCCTCTGCTTTCCATCTCCCAGAAGGATGCCTGGAGGAGGCACCTGTGGTTTCCCTACAAGCAGAAGTGCAAGGCTGATTCACTGGCTGCAATTACCTCTGCTGAACAGGAGCCTGCCCAGCTCCGTGTTCCAGCTCCATGCTCCAGCTGATCCCCCTGCTCTAGAAGACTCCAAAGCAGCAAGCTGGCTGCAGAGCCATTACTCCACATTGGCATAGCATCAGGAGACTTCCTAGGGCAGCCAGGGACCAAAGCTGGCCCAAAGAATCAGCTCAAAGCCTCCTTGTTTCCCTCTCAAGAGCTTTTATCAAACATAATTCATCCAAGACTTCAGAACTAGATACTCACGTCTTCAATTCCCATTGAGATGAGTGTCTCTAGAGCCTGAATGCCTATCAAAACTGAAGCCTCTGCTTGTGACAGTAGGAAGCAGGAGTTGTGTTTAATCTCTTAGGATGCATCTGCATCCTGACTGCCAAACCATTCAGGGAATGTGACACAGAGTTTCTCTGGGAAAAGGCCAGGTCATCCATCACGTTTTTTCCATGTCATATAAAATGGGAAGGAGGTTTTTATCGTGTGAAGACAATTCCTCTGGGACAGAGGTTTACAATGTGATGCCCATCAACTGCTCCTTCCTCCATTCCAGCAGGAGAGCAGGGTGGGAGGACCTCAGTCCCAGTGAAACCAGCAGACAAAGAGCAAGAAAAAGGGAAAGATGATGCTGAAATTATCACTTTCCTCCTGCACTGAAATCAGAGCTCCATCAAATTTCATTTGCAGAGGTACCCATTTCCCCATTTCCTTTTAACCAAGAGCTGGGAAGAGGAACCTGTCACTTGTGGACTTGGGGTGCAGGCAGGAGGCTGAGGTACCACTGCCCATGGCAACACTGTTTGGGTCTTTTCCTCTGGGATGCTTCCAAGAAGTTGGAAATACTTCCAAGTCTCCTGTTCTGGGAATAAATGTCTCAGTAATAAAACTGTTTTCCTACCCTGCCTGCACACACAAACACATGCTGAAAATGTCTCCTGTAACATAATTGACCACTGGAAATAGAATTCATTCATTGTTTTAACAGATCAGGCTGGTTTGACCCATCCCCTAACAGACTTGGGTGTTTCTGCCCCCAAAAAGGTCCCTTGGTCCTTTCTGCACAGCCTGGGGATTCCCAAACATTCCCCAAACTCCAGCCTCTGATCCAGGCTGGATAACCTGGGTAGACCCATGGACCTCTCTGCCCAGCTGAGCCCAGTAGAGCTCCCCTGCATGGCAGCTAAGGGCAAGGACAGCATGAGAAAGGCATTTGCTGCTTTCTATTTCAGGATCCTTGGTAGGTTTATGTAGTTTGGGTTTTTTTCCTCAACAGATGCATCCATTTATCAATTAAGTGGAACACCGTGAATACAAGCAGTGTCATTTCCTAGAAAATCAGCCAAATCCTGCTGTTACTCTCATCATACTACTTCCATTAAACCACTTCAGACAGAGAGGTCTGGCTTCACACAGACTCTCTGACACTGGAAACATAACGTGAGAGTCTTTTGACTTAGAAAAACAAAGTTTCTGCATCTTTTCCTTACAGTTGTCCCTTGAAAATACAAATGGATTCCAAGAAACAACTGAGAAGCAGGGGAAGCTGGCACCTGCACTCCTTTATTCCACACAAAGAACACTCACAGTGCCCCGAGCAGCTCTGAGAAAGGAAAGGAATCCCTTGTGTTTAAAAGAGCAGGTTTTGCAAGCGAAACCAACACCACCAATGCCAATTCTCCAGCAACATTTCATAGAATTGTAGAATCATAGAACAGTTTGGGTTGGAAAGGAGCTTAAGATCACCCAGTTCCAACCCCCTTGCCATGGGCAGGGACACCTCACACTAAACCATGGCACCCAAGGCTCTGTCCCAACTGGCCTTGAACACTGCCAGGGATGGAGCATTCACAGCTTCCCTGGGCAACCCATTCCAGTGTCTCACCACCCTAACAAGAAAGAATTTCCTCCTTAGATCCAATCTAAACTTCCCCTGTTTTAAGTTTTAACCCATCACCCCTTGTCCTGTCACTACAGTCCCTAATAAGAGTCTCTCCCCAGCATCCCTATAGCCCCCTTCAGACACTGGAAGCTGCTCTGAGGTCTCCACACAGCTTCTCTTCTCCAGGCTGAGCAACCCCAACTTCCTCAGCCTGTCTTCATATGGAAGGTGCTCCAGTCCCTCATCATCCTCGTGGCCTCCTCTGGACTTGTTCCAACAGTTCCATGTCCTTTGTATGTTGAGGACACCAGAACTGCACACAATGCTCCAGATGAGGTCTCATGAGAACGGAGCAGAGGGGCAGGATCACCTCCTTTGACCTGCTGGCCACGCTCCTTTTGATGCAGCCCAGGATATGGTTGGTATTTGATGCAGTTTGCCTAAACCCTTAAATATAGTCTCACCAATGCTCAAAAACTGAAAGCAAAACTCTCCATACAGAGGAGCCAAAGTGCCTTTTGCTGATCAGCATCTGTAAAGGCTTGGACTGATTTAAACAGTAGTGATACAAGAAAATAAAACCAAAATGTCCCACTTAAGGAATTCAGCTGCAGTGGATGCTGTGTGGGGAGGGCTGGTGGCAAATTCACAGCTGAGAAAATAAAGTTGCATTAAAAAAGGACATTATTAAAGCTTCTCGGAGGGAGTTCTTTAAAGGCAGACTGGGAAGAACTTTGTGAAGCACCACGTTAGAGCAGAAAAAACACTTCACATTGATCTATACTCAGCAGCTTGGACTGACCTCTCTATGCTGTCCGCTGGGCTGTGGGACTCTCCTTGGGAAGGTGATCCCGAGGCTCAGACCTGTACCTGACCCTGTACCCCTGCCTGTCCTTAACGTGGCTGCAGCACTGCGGCATCACTGACATTAATGAGCATTTCCCTTCCTGCACAAATGCAGGACTGCTCTTTTCTGGCAAACTAAACTTGATTTTCAGATGCTCCTGGTTATGTTTTGACAGTTAATGACAACTTAAGTCCCTGGCAAGTCACACGGTTCAGCCTTCCCTCAGAGATAAATGACTGCCTGCTGCTTGCTCTCAGCATCAAAACTGTCGCTAGCGAAAAGCAGGGGTAGCACTGACCTCACTGAAACACTGTCTGAAATATCAGTATGAGCATAAACAGACCATGAAAAGATTTAACCCCTCATCCTCCACCACACACCCCAGCCCCAGCTCTCCCCTCCTGCCCATGGTGCCTAAAGGCAAAATGGCCTGCATGTGATGCTGAAAGGCTTGTACAAACCCTCTGTGAAAGCAGCGGATGTTCAGTTCCGGGCCCATCACTCCAAGAGAGACATTGAGGTGCTGGAGCGGGGCCAGAGATGGACAGCGGAGCTGGTGCAGGGCCTGGAGCACAAGTGTGATGGGGAAGGGCTGAGGGACCTGGGGGGTTCAGTGTGGAGAAGAGAAGGCTCAGGGGGGACCTGATCGCTGCCTACAAGTGCCTGACAGGAGGATGGAGCCAGGAGGGGCTGGGCTCTGCTCCCAAGGAACAAGGGATGGGACAAGAGGAAACGGCCTCAAGCTGCCCCAGGGCAGGTTTAGATGGAGCTGAGGAACAATTCCTGCCCCAGAGGGTGCTCGGGCATTGGAACAGGCTGCCCAGGGCAGGGCTGCAGGCACCGTCCCTGCAAGTGTTCACAGCCCATGGAGACGAGGCCTCAGTGCCATGGGTCAGTGGTGGCCTTGGCAGTGCTGGGAACGGTTGGACTGGATGAGCTTAAAGGGCTTTTCCAACCCTGTTGGTTCTGTGATTCTATTCTATGCTCTCAGACTAAGTTTCTACAGAGACAATCTGGGCCAGGTCTCCAATTCTCAAACAGGGATGTAAATCTCCATAGAAATTAACAGATCTGCTTTAGGTTTATAACTGATCACTAGAAGCTGGTGAAAGCCTTCTTCCAGGACATTATAAAAGGGTTTCTGAGTGTTGTTTACTGTCAGCCAGCTTTCCCCTCTTTCTGTGTTTGTATAAAGTCACCTGCAGCAAACTTATCCCCGTCAGCAGGACTCAGAGAATTAAAGCATCGTACCTGACACATCCTCCTTGCTCAGCACACAGGAGCTGAGGTAAAGATATGCCACAGCGTGTGACTGCGGGCAAGGGGGATGAGAGGGGCACTGGAGATGGTCCCAGGGAAGCAGCCAGGAAAGTCTCCCCCTGGATTATCTCAGCATCAGGACAGCAGAAACACAGAATCCCAGCCTGGTTTGTGTTGGAAGGGACCTTAAAGCTCCTCCAGCTCCAACCCCTGCCACGGGCAGGGACCCCTTCCACTAGAGCAGCTTGCTCCAAGCCCCTGTGTCCAACCTGGCCTTGAACACTGCCAGGGATGGGGCAGCCACAGCTTCTCTGGGCACCCTGTGCCAGCGCCTCAGCACCCTCACAGGGAAGAGCTTCTGCCTAAGAGCTCATCTCAGTCTCCCCTCTGGCAGGTTAAAGCCATTCCCCTTGGCCTGTCCCTACAGGCCCTTGTCCCAAGCCCCTCTCCAGCTTTCCTGCAGCCCCTTTAGGTACTGGAAAAGGAAGGGAAAGCAAGACAGCTGCTGTCTGCCAGGAAGGTGTTTAGGGGGAACGTGGGTAAGGTTTTGAATCACCACTCTGCCAGGGCAAGCAGAGGAAATACCAAATTCATGGCAGTGGCAATAGGTGAACCAGGTCCTTACTCCCTCCTCTTGAGCATCCCCTGCTCTTTCCCTTTTTTAATGAAAACTAAGGGATAAACATGGTCCCCTTTCTGAATTAAAGGTGCAAGAAGGGTATTCTATCCTGTTCCTCAAAAGTGCTGGATCTTAGCTGCTCTGAGGTAAGTGTCTCTCTCAGCTCTGCTGTCAAGCCTGATTATAGCTTAATCTCATTTTCAAAAGCCAAGCCCTGAGGATTTAGAGATCTCCCTCCCTCCCAGCTCTCCATTGACCCACTTTTCCAAAGCCCTGTGTTTCTGAAGGGGCACGAGGCGGATGTCTGAGCAGAGCTGTGGAGCCAGCCCCAGCATCACATCTGCTCCGGCTCTGACAGCACACACTAATGGGATAAATCCCTCAGAGACACGCTTGTGTGACAGGCACGGCTCGCACTCTGTCTGCTCCGCTGTTCCCTGCCTCCGTTCTCATGCTAATAGAGAGATTTCAGGCGAAAGAGAGGTCTGGAGCTCTGCCATGCACTCCATGGGCACTGATCTCATCTCATCTTGTCCACCCACTGAAGGGGTCGATAACAGCTCTACATCTTCAGCATAGGTATTGCCCCCCATGTACACTTCCCTTTCTCCTAGGTACTCAGCCAACGCCACCACCCAAACAGGGCTCCTAAGAAAAGATGAACGCTGGGATTGCCACTAACAAGGTTCACACTGCTGGGAATCCCTCCACAGAGCAGCACTGCTTAGCCTTCTTATCCCTATTTCACAGAACAAACAAACCAGCCAGGCTACCTCACATACACAACAGGTTTTAAGGTTCCACTTTTAAGGATGCTCTGATTCAACACAGCTTGTCACTGCAGCCAGAAAACATCTTACACCAACAGTTCTGTACTATTTAATGTGAGCAATGCTATGCAACATTGACCCGCTCGCAGCCTCCGTCATGAGACAGGAACTGAGCCATCACAATCACTGAGCTCTCCTGGCTCTCCTTATACCCAGCCTCAGATCAAAGAAACCCTGCTCATTTTGGCATAAAACACAGCCTCCCTTTCCAAATTCCATCTCTGACTGATAAATTCTTGCCTCGTTAGGCCTCTCTGGAGACACAACACACGTCAGAGTGCTGCTGGTCCCAGAAGACAGCCTGGGACATTTTTGTCCCAGTTTCCTCTTGCCCTCAAGAGATTTTCATGACTAAGCAGAATAAAACATCTTCAGACACTTCATGTGTCAGTTCCTGGAGCACAACCAAATACAGAGCTCAGAAACCAAGACCTGGACTTAAGTTTTTAGCATTACGTGGAGACAAGAGAATTTCAGGAGTTTGGAAGAACACAACTGGTTAAGCTGCTGTATGTAGACAGAGGCTCCAAGAGATTGGAGCCTGATTTACACACCAAACCAACTTCAGCTCTTCCTTCTGCTGACCTAGTGCAAACCTTCTTGGAAGGTTATTCAAGCTACACAGGTCCTGCTCTGACTGGACTTCTATCAATTTTCCTGCAACATAAATTAACTCATAATAGGACAATCTTTAGGTAAACCACGAAAAATGAAATGAATGAAGACTACGCTCACATTGCCATCAGCAAAGTGACACCAACCTGGGCAACTTACCTGTGCCTTTTACCCTGTAGACAGCAAACTTACAGCAATCATTTGGGTTTAAAAAGTGTGATGGTGTGAGAATTTGAACAAAACTAGGTATTTCTAGCACCCCATGAAGGGTGTATGGCCCACTGTGCCTTTAACACAAGACAATGTGTAAGGATACAGTTACCAAACAACGTGAGGACGATGAAGTAAATGGAGGAGAACATCCCCGAGCGAACGCCGCCCTGTGACTCTATCCCGTGGTACATCACAGCATTCCAGTCTTCCCCTGTCAGGATCTGCACAGCAAAAGTCGAAAGAGGAGAAATGGTGAGTCAAAGGAAAGACAAAGCCAGGAAGGTTTGGGGGAACTGAACTAAGCAGCTTGATGCAATGCAGGACTGGTCTCTAGGTGGAAAATGGATGAGCGTTAGTGTGGTAGGCTGCACTGTTGGACATCAAACTCCAGCCCTGGATGGCTTCACCCCAGGGTGGATGCAGCTTTCTCCTCTGGCACGAGCTAAGGAGGAGGGAGGATCACTGGTGAGGGACTCCCATTGTCCCATTCCTTCCTGCTCTTGATTATGTGCCTGCTACCCTCCTGCAACCTCAGGCTCTCATGCACAACACTTCAACTCCAGCAAGATTTGCCCGCTCTCCATTTTTAAGTCATGTGGAGATACCAGGTTTCAACAGCTCCGAGCCAGCATCTCCCCCACAGGCCTCCAAAACCTCTGACCTGAGTGGAAACTCTGCCAGTATCAACTCCTTTTATTGACTTCATACAGCAAGGGTTTGCTCAGCTCCTGCAGCTCTCTTCCACTATTCCTCTGTTCCTCAGGGCTGCAGACAGCCCTGGTACACGCATGAACATTACTGCAAGTGCCATTCACTGGGCAGCACAACCACTGCCAGGAGGTTGCACCACAATGGATTCTAATCCAGGTTTGCTGCTTGCTCAGGCCAGAGGGACCCTTCAGCCACCCAGAATGGCCACAAAGAAACCCTTAAGCAGAAGCAATAACCAATGTGCATGAGTGAGGATAAACGAGGGTAGCTTGAAGGGGACCCTGATCCTCCTCTGTGCTCACCTTGTATAGAGGTGAGCACAGCCTGGCTCTGCAGAGCTGTCCTGGCTGCAGGCTCTGCACACTGACCTGAGGCTAATGAGCAAACACATGAATAATAGCAAAACTAATCAGAACAAGTGAAAACACCTAAGACTCAAATCACTGCCATGGCACATGCTAATCTTGCACCATCTGAGTCCCCTGCCGTTCCTGGTCTTCACCAATGACTGCAACAGAGCAACATTTTGGGCACATCAACACTTCATCAACCTGCCATGGCAGAGTCAAGGGTAGTCACTTTCAGTATATAGTAAGATGCCTATTGGGATGTGAAGCTCAAATTCCTAAATAGAAAGTTGTCTTTATATTTAGTAGAAGAAAATAAAATGAGAACCAAAAAAAGCCCAAAGCATGATGCATGCTGTAGTAACCAAGCCCCACGTGCATGCAGTACACTCAAAACAATTACACATTCTGGACTAGTCATCATCTGCTGACAGAGAGAAAAACTCTTGCTGCAGGGTTGGTGCTGATGGCTGCAATGGGCTGTGAGTAAATCTATACAAGGACATACAGTGCATACACCAACTTGTATCCTAAATGCAAAATCTGGCCTCAAATAACTCAGGACACAGTTCAGAGCCTGAGCCTAACCCATATCATTAGAACTACTCTGGATTTACATCAGAGAATAGGAACCAGAGCACTGGGCTTTCAACTCTGGCACTCAATTATGCAAAGCACTGTTCACAAACTTGCATTCACATCATTTCCATGAATCCTCAATTGTTCCTGCTTTCTGTGAATAACCATAAAGTGATTTCTATTCACACAAACATTCATGGAAAAAGAAAGCAGGGGCAATGTTTCTATGCCCTGCAGAAGACCAGGACTTGCAGGTATCACAAACTACAACTTCACATAAGCAAGTCCAGCTGGTTAGTTTATTTGTCACTCTGCAAAAGTTTGCCTGGGCAAAGATGAGGATGCTCTGGTGCCCTGGCAAGAGGACAGACGCTTTGACCTGGTGTCCTTCCCACTGCTCGTGCTGTCAGCCATCAGCTGGAGGAATTACTTAAGCCATTAGGTAGCAACCCTCAAGGATCAGAACACATGCAGTAGGTAAAGCCTTTCTGCTCTATAAAGTCTCTGCTTATGGATGCTATAAGAACTTCTTGCTATAGTAGAGAAAGGATAACATTGCAAAAGGAGAGGAGTAAGCAAAGAGGACTTTGGAGTGAGATGAAACCCAAACATTTTGTTTTTCCCTGGCCTTAAAACTGCTTTTGGCTACCCCAAATGAACATTCTGTGGAGTGCCTGTCATCATTTAACACTTAGGCTTAGCTGAGGAGCCACCAGGTGATGGAATAAAAACAACTGTCAAGAGCTGCTGTGAAACCTTAATGGGCTAATGAGCACATTAACAGTGGGAGACACTCAGCTGTGGAGGAATCATGCTGCACCATTCCAAAGGGCTGTCCTCAAAGAGAGATGCTCTCCTGAGGAAGGGCCTGAGTAAAAGGAAAATCAGTATCAGACCTCTTGGGCAGGCCAGTGAGACCAGCCGGAGCACTCAGACACCCAACCGAAGCCAGCTCTGCATCCCAAACCTCAGCAGGGCACCCATCAGCAGAGCTGAGGCTTGGTCCCATCCTGCCACTGTGACTCCTTACCTCCAGTGGTCACCAGTGCTCTGCCTCTTAGCAGCCAGCAGCATGTGATTACTCACATAGCAGCTCTGAGGGAGGAGAGCATGTATAGTTAACACACCTCCTGATTTTTAGTCTCTGCACTTACAGGTATTGTACACACTTCCAACTCGATTGCTGGAATAGGGAGATGCAACTAGTTAGTTTTCATGTGTATATACATCATCATAGAATGGTTTGTGTTGGAAGGGACCCTAAAGCTCATCCAACTCCAACCACTGCCACGGGCAGGGACCCCTTCCACTAGAGCAGCTTGCTCCAAGCCCCTGTGTCCAACCTGGCCTTGAACACTGCCAGGGATGGGGCAGCCACAGCTTCTCTGGGCACCCTGTGCCAGCGCCTCAGCACCCTCACAGGGAAGAGCTTCTGCCTAAGAGCTCATCTCAGTCTCCCCTCTGGCAGGTTAAAGCCATTCCCCTTGGCCTGTCCCTACAGGCCCTTGTCCCAAGCCCCTCTCCAGCTTTCCTGCAGCCCCTTTAGGCACTGGAGCTGCTCTAAGGTCTCCTCAGAGCTTTCTCTTCTCCAGGCTGAACAAACCCAGCTCTCTCAGCCTAGAAACAAACTATAGTTTGTGTTTGTATTTTGTCTATGCACAACTTGGCATTCAGCTCACAGAGACTTTCTTGGGAGCCAGGAGCTGCAGAAAAACATGTAATGCTCTTCAAAGGGCATTTAGGGAGAGCTGTGCTCAGCTGCACCCAGCACTGAGCTCAGCCAACTCCAGGTGACAAAAATACCTGGAGACGTGTGACAGGAGACTGCGACCCAGCCAGATCTGCTGAGATCAATGGGGCTATGGCAGGCTGCAGAACACTTTAAACCTTCTTCCCAAACAAAGACTCTCCAAAGGGGTTAGGAACAGACAGGTTGTATCAGGCTTTATTCTGTTTGTTCAACGCATCAAATGCATTCACTGAACGATGCTAGTCTGCTCATTAGAGCAGCAACCGAAGAAGCCTGCGTTACTTCTTGCCCGAGTTTATGAAGACAAGGTTAGAAGAGAATCCAAAGCCCACATTGAAGAAACATTATTTGCAATTCAGTGGAGAAGGGGGTTGGACTGGGAGCAGAGGTTATCAAAAAGCCTCAGTGAGGCTGCTCTGAGCTTATTCAGTGCTGACGGGTTTTGCCGGTTTCAGTTCATAGCTCTACTATACAAATGTCATCAAATGAACAGTGTTTTCCCTCATCCCACAGCCACTGCATTACAGGGGTGTTTGCCTCAGGGATAGAAAGGAAATATTTCAGCTAAGCACTCTCAACAGTATTGCTCTAGTCCCAGAAGCAAACTAAACCACGAACACTTCCACAGGCTCGTATCTGGAGCCTGACTCAGGCTCAGTTCTGGCTCTGTGGCAATACCCTTACATTTCTATAAGCCCTTCTTTGATGAGTACCAAAAATACTATGCAAATACTAATCTACCATGATTTGCAATATCCTGCAAGGTAAATACTACCAAACCTGCTTCACATCAGGAGAGAAGCAATACCCATATGAAGGTCATTGTGGTCATAGGACACATTTTCTTTTAGAGTCTTTTTCTGGTTTAATCGAAATATTTTCATCAATTCCTTGCTTCCGTCCTTTTTCCTCCCTCTTTTAGGGACATGACACTGAAATACATAATCCAAGCCTTGCTGAGACCTATGAAAGTTTGGATCAAAGTCAAGTCCACATCAAGAATAGGCCAATGCTATAAATGCCAGGCAGTCTTCCATAGAGCTGTGAATGTTACCTGCACATGGAGCAGGGTGCAGCACCCTCAGATCTCTGCTTGAAACACCTGAAATAACTGGTTTAATACAGGCATGCAGAGAACAGCTGCAAAATTAGGCTCTTAAATCTGAGTAGTGCTGCTGCCAGAGCTGCAGACTTCCTCCTGCCATCACACAAACTTGCCCAAGGCTGATGCCTCTTTCTGAGCTTCCCCATTGACTGTGATTCTTACCCAGCATTATCTTGAGCTGTTACAGTGCAAAATGCTCCCATTTCCTCACTGCCTGGAGCTAGCTCAGGCCTCTCTCCTCCTATTATGGTAACCACAGGAGAAAGGGAAACAGGCCAACCACTGTCTGGGATTGCAGAAAGGACATTGATGCAGCAGGGCACATGCAAGTGCTGCCATCCCACCATGCAGCCCCAGGCAGGGGCCTCAGAAGAAGGCATGGGCACAAACAGACTTTAAGCAAGGCTCAGAAATGTCTATTTAACCAAATGCCTATTTTGTTCCAGTTCTCTTTAATTCACCATAAGCAGAAAGAGATGTCCAGGAATTCATTTTCTCCCAGGACAAGGTACGGCTTTACCTGGAATACTGTGAGGATGGCAGCAGGGAAGGTATCAAAATTCGTGGTTGGTGTTTCATCTTGGAAATTGAATCTAGAAAGAAGAAATAAACCCAAAAGCAGTAAGGGACAAGCAGGTCTCATAATACCCTGTAAACTGAGTCAGGGAGCAACATTTGTTCCACCTGGCAATAACACCCCAGGCCATCACAGAGGGGAACATCTCTGAGATGTTCTGAGGCAGCATCTCTGAGATGATGCTTAACAAAACTATTAGCAGAAACTCAATTTCATTGCTGAAGAATGCTTTGACATTCATTTTCACCCACAATTAAAAGGAACAAGAGAAATCTCAAAGGATTTTGCAGAACGAATCACTCCAAGAGGTTTTTTTGCTTCAAGTGTGGAACTCAAACCTGAAATTGTCCTTTTAGCAGATTATTTCATTTTAATATTTTAAAGATAAAACAGTAAATGTCTGGAAAAGCAAACATACAACAAACATTTTCTCATTTCAAAATCCATGCTGCAGCTCAAATGGTAATATTTTGATATCTCTTGTTGCAAAATTCATCACAAGCAACATTTCTAATGAGAAAAAAATCAGCTTCAGCAGAATTGTGTTTTCCAGCACAAAATATTCCAAGTGAATAAATTCAGGGAAAAGAATCTGCCTTTTCCCTAATGGTAGAAAAAAGTGCTGCCTCCCCAGCCCTGCTCCAGAGCTCTGGGTGCACATGGGGACCATGGAATGACACAGGAGGTTGAATTAGGGTAACTATGAAGAATTCAGCTCCAAGTAAAAGAGCCGAAAAGGATCTGCTGTCCTACAAACCAGCGACCAGTTCTCAGCATCCCAGGAAGTCTCACATCTGTACCCAGGATGTGAATCCTTCATCCCTGCAGCATTCCATGTGCATGCTTTCAGATTACCCCTGAAAGGACAACAATGAATTACACTTACTGTCCTCCAAACAGCTGCATCCCCAGCAAAGCAAACACCACAATGAAGAGGAAGAGCAGGAAAAGCAAACTGATGATGGACTTCATGGAGTTCAGCAAGGAGACCACCAGATTCCTCAGGGAATTCCAGTACCTGCATTGGAGATCAGAGCAGCAGGGAGAGAACATGAGAGGAAGAGCCTCTGGTAAGAAACTAATACAATCTATTATTATAGAAAAGGAAAAGAATGGCCAGGAATATCAGCATCTTTAAATGACTCTCCATGACTGGAAAATACAGCTCACTGAGGAGCAAAATCTCTTGTAGGATCTCAAGGGCAGAGATGGCCACCTCGGTGCACATGTACCCATGCAGAGCAGTTGTATGCAGCGGCAGTGTTTGGTTTAATTCCTCAGTAACTCCTTTCTTGATGCAGATCTCAACCTTTCTGTATTTTCTCCTTCAGCATGGCAGCCAGCAGGGGTGTCCAACCAGGGATGTATCAATGTCATGAATGGGGACAGCGAAAACCTCCCTTTGTAAGACACAAATCAGCTCATTTCCAGTGTGATGTCTTTGTGGTGTCTGTCCAGCTTGTCAGATGTCAATACCCATAAGTGGAAAACTCCCACATGTTCAGACATCTATGATTTCTGTAGATGCTCAACACACGCATTCATGCAAAAGGAATCCATTCCATTCACGCACAATGCCTTCACTGTGGGGCAATTCAACCACACGGTTTAAGCATCCAGGACCAAGCAACAGCTTCGGACAATGAAAACAAATCTGGGACATTAACTCCAACTTGTCAAGAGGGAATGGCTCAGCATGAATCCTGCCTGACACATGCAAGTCGCCTCTGGCCAGATACCGAAGTTAGTTTGCTTTTATCCCTCCTGTCCCCTGAGATGGCTCCTGGCACACTCACAGTCAGGCACATTGAGTGACAACGTGCGGGAGGGTGCTCAGGAACAGCTCTCTTTCCTGGCTTTATTGCCCTGCTGGGAACAGGCAGGGAGCATTTATATTAGGAAAATTAATGAATCAGAAAATGCAGAAAGAGCTATCAAGCAGAGGAGCTCTTTGACAATCTCCTTTTGGACAGACAGGCTGGAGCAGACGGGAGGGATCGAGTGATTTAGAGCCATTTCACGTGTCCTCTGATGAAAGTTTTGAGACCATGGGGGAAGATTTTCCTCTCTTTTTGTGCAGTGACTTCCCTCTTCTCCACCACCCAGCACCAAGAGCTGCCATTCAGAGGCCACTCTCAGCAGCAGCTCTACCATCCTGGCCTGTGTGTCCTCTGGCTGCAGTTTTAGGGACAGATGCATGCTAAGCTCCCTCCTGCAGCGCAGCTGTGGGTATCCAGCAGAAGGAAGCCCATGGATTCCTCCCATTTGATGGGGAGAAAAGCTCAGAGCTTGAGTCAGAAGCACAGAAACACCATCCTTTCTCTTCTCTTTTTCTTTGTTTCCCTCCTCTTCCTTACCACAGGTGTAGCTGGGAGAGCTGAACCACCCCATGGTTCTCTGTACTGATGTGCATCCCAGGAGAAGCAGGATCTTGCATTCCCATTGACCCATTCCAAGAAGAGTTATGTCATCATACAATGACAGAGAGTTTCAGGGGAATCTCTCAGGACCAGATCTAGTCAGGGTTAGCTCTTCAGCAAAAGGGGCTGAGCTTCTATCATTGGAGATGGAGGAAGCATTTACTGCTCACATGGCTCTCCCCCGTTTGACCCAACAGCTTCAGGCAATGCCTGCCACAAAAGCAGCTAACACAACCGTGCCTGAAACACATGGGGAGGCTCTGCCTTGCCCTGGAATAGCTCAGCACCAAATCCTGCCTGAATACACAGAGCCAGGATATAAATAGGAGCTGCATTTCTACAAGTGCCAGTCCCCATTCAGTTCTGTGATGACAAAGAGGAGAACATGTGAAGCTGTTTTCTTCTTGTCCTCTTTGCTGGATTTTACCCCTTCTTTAGGTGTGTCCACTCATAGTGCAGCTTTCTGCCACATTTCAGGCTGACTGTAATTTAACTTCTTAACTACTGCATCACTCTGCTGTCTGTAGGCACTGATTTGGGAGATATGAATCAGAAGGTCTAATACCATCGATTATTCAAGGCATTGGATTGCAACTGGCTTTTATTAAACACAAAGGAAAAAAAGGACATGGATTTTCAGAGGAAAGTTTCTATGAAAGAGATGGGAAAAAGAAAACTACTGAGGGACAGGATGTAAAATAAAGACTGTAATGAGAGCACGTAGGCAGCAATCTGTGCCTTGTGCCACTGCTTTGGTCACTCTCCATGAATGATGCTAGGGCTGAGCTGGTCAGGCACTGGGATAATGTGGCCCAGCAACAATGAGCTACCTCCATGTGAGCTGGGGATGAGACATGGCTTCTGGCAACGCAATGAACACATTTATCATGTCAGGTTCAAAAATAACATGGTGAGGTCAAGGGAACTTCAATATCAGTGGGGTGAGAGTTTCAATTGGCTGTTCTAAGAAGGAAAATAGCACTCAGCTGGTTTCATGATGTGCTTTGCTAAGTTACATCTCAGGCCTAAACCTTTATTACATTGGCTAAGAACCTGAATAGTCAAAACTTGCAAGGAAGATCAATTTAGCATGTAAAAATGTCCAAAATTATTCAAAAGTACAACACACAATCAGACACATTGAATCTCAGTAGCTCTGGATAAAATTAACTGCTGACTTGCTATGAATTTCCTACAAATCCTGGAGTTTTCCATAACTAGCAGTAGCTCACAGGTGATGTTATAGTGATATCTGTGGGGCAGGCATCCACCTGTTTTGCTGAACATTCATAGAACTTCACATTTCCAACTCCTTTGTCCCCCAGTACAAATGACACAGTGTCCCACACAGCTCTTGGGTCTACGTGATGATTAGCAAATGAGCAAATCTTGCAGAGCTGACAAAACCCATGTGCCTGAATAGCTGTGAAAGTACCTGGGTACTCTAAATTACTGTTCTCAACTGTGATAACTTGTGCTCCATCAATCTGAGATGGCTGGGTTTGCTTTGGAGGGAGATGCTGTCCACCCTTTTGTTACTTTAAGCTAAGAACAACTAAGGAAGTGACGGAAAGAGAGGAGATATGAGGAGGTAATGGTCTAAATGGTGTAAAAAAAAAAAAAAAAAGAAAAAGGTGGAAAACAACAGCAGCATCAATTTTCACACCATAATTTTGAAATCCTGCAGAAATTGCTCTAGATGGATTTCTAAATCGCTACTGCCAGCATATGTTAGTGCAATGCATGAGCATGAAGACAACTGAAAAGCTGGGGCAAGCCAACTCCTGGTGACAATTCAGCTTCTCAGGCTCAAGGCTGAAAACCTCAGGCATACCCAGAGCAGACACAGCACAGGCAGCAGCAACACACTTCATATTTGTGTGAACACAGTGGTTCAGGTGCCAGGATTTGGTACCTACCAATAATCAGGGGAGCTTGGTATTTCCTAAATACTAAGGATTTCCTAAATACTTAAGGAACAGTCACTGGCTCCACAGCAGATAAGGACAGTGGGCAGCTTATGGAGCTTAGAAAATTGATAAACTTTTTTCTCTTATCACAAGAAATAAGTGATCAGCTTGTGAGATTTTTGTTTCAAGGAAAGCCTAAAACCAAAGAAAAGAAGGATGCTGTCATGCTCATCACTGCACTGTGGAGTCTTCTACCCAAGGACAGACAAACCTCTGTAAGATCCTGGGGAAAGGGCTATTAAAAGTTCTTGTGGATGCAAACACAGGCTCAGGAACTCCCTAAACTGCCAGAAACATGGATAGCCCAGCCAAGGAAAGGGCAACTTCTCTTCCTGCCCCCTATTAGGGCCAGTGCAGATGTACAACGTTAGGACTAACAAGAGTGTTATCCTGCTGATGATACAGGTTCCATATGGTGCTAAAAGTCTAATCTGAGCAGAAGGGGAGCTGGACTTACTTTGTTACTTTGAATATCCTCAGCAGTCGAAGCGCTCTCAGGACACTGATGCCAAAGGAGGTACCTGGTTTCACTGCAGCCCAAATGACTTCAAATATACTTCCCACGATCACCTGCAACAAGAGTCCATTTTACATAAAGCAAAACTTCTGCTTAGTTCTTCGCAGTTCACCTAAGGAGGCTGATGAGAGAACAAGAATGAGAGCGAGGTCTGTGCTGGCTTTCTTATGAAGGCTTCAGCAATATCATGAGTTAGCCAACAACACTAAAAGACCTTGTTCCAGCTTCTTCAGGAACTTCTGTTTGAGGAGAGGGGCCTTGGGCAAGGGCCTGTAGGGACAGGCCAAGGGGAATGGCTTTGACCTGCCAGAGGGGAGACTGAGATGAGCTCTTAGGCAGAAGCTCTTCCCTGTGAGGGTGCTGAGGCGCTGGCACAGGGTGCCCAGAGAAGCTGTGGCTGCCCCATCCCTGGCAGTGTTCAAGGGCAGGTTGGACACAGGGGCTTGGAGCAAGCTGCTCTAGTGGAAGGTGTCCCTGCCCGTGGCAGGGGTTGGAGCTGGAGGAGCTTTAAGGTCCCTTCCAACACAAGCCAGGCTGGGATCCTATGAACTTTCTGCATTCCAGTCTACAAAAGGGCAAGACCAAATGCCAACACTTGATTTTCCCACCCAATGCAGCATAGTCAGTACAGCCTGCAGATGCAGGGGACACTGCCCCATCCTCCCCTTCCCATCTAAAGCACCAGAAGTCTTTCATACACAGCAGTGCAGAAGCTGTGTATGAAGAGTTCAGACACAGTGCTCCATACCTGATACTAATGAAGCATCAGGTGTGGGCAAGATTACCTGAAACTTCTGGCAACTGAGAGTCTTTAGGAGAGCAATTAAGGTAATAGCTATTAAGAGATCCTGAAAATCTCTAGCACGTAGAGCCCATCATCAGCTAGACTCTCAGGTTATTAAAAAATAGTCCTAAATCAAGGTGATTTTTAGGTTTTGTTGTGTTTTCCTTGTTTGTTTTAATGTTAGCAGAGGATTAACTGCAAGTGATAAAGAAATCTCTGAAATCCTTTATTAAAAAAAGCACAAAATAACCCCTAATGGGTTAAGCACAATGGCAAAGGACAATTATATCCACACAGGTTACTGCACAGTTAATAAGACAGGCATTTGGCTGCCAATTGCAGTTATTACTTGCATTAACCCAGCATCTCAGAGCTCCCATTGACCACGGTCCCCAGTTGCATGAAGCACCATAAACACGTTATCACCAGACCCCTGAAAGCAGCTGGCTTGCGTTGTGAGAGGGAGCCTTAATGGGAACTCAGTGCTGGAAGAGCTGTGTCTGAATACCTGAGCAGTGCTGGGAGACTCAGCAGCTTGGAAACAAATCCCTTTCCTAAACAGAAACTTGGATGTTGTTTCAAAACTACAGCACTGCTTGTAGCTTCTCTGCAACAAATGCTGCACCCTCAGCTTCCAGAAAATGCAGAGGAAAGGCAAAGACACAGCAGCTGCTGATCCAGTCCCTCCCATCAGAAAAAGAAGGAACAAAACTACTCTCCCACAGTCTTTCACTCTTGAGACTCCCTCATGAATCAGCAGAAACCTTTCCTGAGACACTCCATATGTGTCTCCTCTGATAATTCATTTTGCTGTCATCTCCACACGGCCTCCTGGGAGCTTGTTTCACATGAGACCCCACTGGACTGTTGCTCCCAAGACTGATGCCGCTGTGATTTGTTGTTTCACTTTTTGCATTTGAATGGTTTCATCTTGATGGTTTGTCAAACTAAACTGACTGCAGATCCCCGTGATGTCCCAGCGGGGGTGAAGTAGCTGAATTAATTCCGGAGGCTGGAAGGTGGGCGAGGAGGAAGAAACATAGATAGAAGCTGGATCCCTATGGATCCTCTAAAGAAGGAAGAGTTAGACCAACAGCTTTACCTCCTGGGAAACACTTATTTCCAGTGCTGCACTCACAATAGCATGATGCAAAGCAGAGAGACCAATAGGTTCATTTCTTGCTTAGGCCAAGCTCTTAATTCTCCCATAACAGGAGGCTGGAACTAGATGAGCTTTAAGGTCCCTTCCATTCTAGGATTCTATAATACCTGTAGCCTTGGATTTAGGAATGGTCACTTACTGAAGGTAAGAATGCTTCCTCTCCTTCATTGCCAGAGCAAACCTAAAGCAAGGAATTTTGCTCCATGGGGCAGAAGAATCACTCCCAGTGTTTTGGCAGATAAAGACTGTAAACAACAGACTAAATCTTGAAGAGAAGGACTGGATGATATGTACAATGACCTGTTTCCCTCTTGCCTGTGGCTATATCATAAGCTTCACAACCAGTTTGCTAAAGAAACCTTCTAGACTGATTCCAGCTCTGGGATGCAGTGCTCAGCCCACTCTAAAGGTGAGAAATGCTGAGTTAACCTGTGTGAGGACACCTTACAGCCTAATAGCTTTCAATGAATAAATTAACATCTGCATGCAACGTTCCTTGTTAGACAGTCAAAACTGACCCCATTATTGACACTTCAATGCTGTAGTTCTAACATGAAGAGGAGAGCCCGTATTTCTGCAGTAAAAGGATGTGAGTTATTACCTTTCTGTCACCTAATCATGTGTTTAGACTTCTGCTTCTGGGCACTCATGTCTGAAAAGTGCTGTCTATGTATCTTGAGGTAAAGGCCATTAAATGGTTGACTGGGGAGGTAAGCAATAAGATGGGGGGGGGGGGGGTGTCTTTCAATCACCTCATTTAAATGGGAGAGAGAACCTCTCAGTAATCAGAGCATTTACTGGTGCTGATGCTGCGAACACCCTCTAGCTTGATGAGGAAATGCAATCCCCAGCTGTCACATTTCTTCAAAAAGGATGATAACTAGGGGAAGCTTAATGTGTCTCATTGCAGCTCATTTATACAATGACAGCTTCCCACAGAAGGCACACACACAGCACCATTCCCCATGGATTCCCACACTCACCCTTAAATGCCCAGCCCCACTGAATAAAGGGAAAACCACACGTTCGTCCACACAGACTTACCCCAAAGTCAAAGCAGTTGAATGAAGAGTGGAAGTAATTCCTTGGCCCCAGCCCATACATCTTCAAAGACATCTCAGTAAGGAACAGACCCAGAAAAACAAACTCTGCAAAATCTGCAGACAGGAGAAGAGATTAAATTAGTCCGCAAGACCTTGGTAGGCAGACCTCGCCATGTGGGGAACAAGGGTAACTGTTCACAACACTGACTGCCTCCTGCCAGGAGAAAATCCCTCTGGAATGGCAAACAGGACCCCGAGGACAGCTTCACATAATTATTTCTATACGCACCACGAGCTGTATTCAGCCTTCAGGAACTGTGAAGGCAGTGCTTCATGTGTACTCTGGAAAGGTGGTATGAGCATTAAATAACACCCTCATCATCTTTGTAAGGGAGTTTCAAAAAAAAGCTCTGGATCTAAAGGTCTCATCGCTAAAGGTCTCATTTAATTGCACAGATAATGCTTTGCAAGTGTGCGTTTGGGACTTCTGTACCTACACATGACAGGCACTTTTGGGAGCAGGGTGTAAGCTTTTGTAACATCCTCTCATGATAAAAATACCTTCAGATGCAACGGAACTGCTGCCTCTGAGAGCTCATATTCAGAGGTGTTGTGTCTACTGTTAGCACGTAACCACATTTATTTTTATTATGTCAGTATAACCATATAATTATGGAAGAACAAGTTTTGTTTCCTTCTGCTTCACATAGCACGGGCAAATAGGCTGTGAAGCTTTTGATGAGGAAATTTATCACCTATGATGAAACAAAGGGCAGAAAGAAAATATAGCTGGAGACTGCAATTTCCACATCACGTTTTTAGGTCTTGAAGCTACAGAAAACACTGCCTTTGGCATTTTAAGTCATGCAAGTTTAAACCTGGAGGCCAATAAGCAACAGCAACAATGGAATATTAAAAAACAAACATGAAAAGGGCAAAACCCCCTCTACATTACCGAAACCAACCAAATAGCGTAAGGCAAACCTCTCCCTCTAGAGAAATGATGAGGAAAAGAATCAAACTTCACAGAGTAGAAATTAATCACATTGCTTAGTGCAGTACAGAAGGTTCTCAGATGCTGGAGCTGCATAGACGCTACAGGAAAGTTATCTTCTATAATTTCAGTTTTATCACTTCAGGAATAATAAGGACGGTACCAAGCTTCTCTCAAAGGTGCACACAGACATACAGGGGGCAACACATGCAAGAACACATGCAAGTGGCAAGGAGGAAGATTTCAGCTAGATAATCCTGAATCCCAAGTGCTTTGTACACCACCTGCAATATGTGGCTTCAGCTAATGAGTGTGGGGAAAGAGATGAGGGAATGCATGGCTTTCACTCCATGCACGGCCTCGCACATTCATACTGAGTGTGGCTGGCCCAGGCCCATCTCCCATTGCTGCTTGTCTTTTGGAATTGCTTGGAAAAAATACAGCTTCAATTATCAAAAAATAAAAAGGGGTTTTAAATTTCAAATGAAAGGCAGTCATGGAATAGCACAGGCATAAAAAGACGTGAAATCCAGGAAGCATTAATCAGATGAGAAAGGCTTTATTAACACTTCAGTGAGGAGCCTACAAGGACACTTCTGCCAACATTTGCAATAGAGAAGAAAATACAAGGAGAGTATTAATTATACCATGCAACCTACTCCTCTTGAAAATAGGAGCAATATCATTAAAGGAAACTATCAAAGGCAGAGTGTTCACATTTGAGGAATAAGATGTCAAAGTATGAAGTCTGCCAACTTCTCAGCCTTTTTCCTACTGAGAGGTAGGCTCCATCCACTGGATCTCAGTGCTCAGGGAAAGCACATGAAGGAGCAAGCATGCCTCCATCTCCCTTTGAGCTTGGATCTTGCTTCTCCAACATCTGCATCATGCTGCAACTTTCCTCTCCTTTCTGATATCAGATGCTCAACGAACAAACAGTTGTTTCCAGCACAAGGGATCCCAGTGTAGGGAGTTATCCACAGTTTCACTGGCAACCCATCTGACTACATGAGTGCAGAGGGTGTGAGAAAGGGACCAGGAAACCAATGGCAGGCATAAAATGAGATGGCTGACAAGTTCAGGAATACAAAACCACATAGTTTTAAAAAAACACATGTTCAGTGGTATTGAATTCCTTTGCACTGAATTAAAAAGATCATAATTGTGAACTAAGAATGTTAAAATCCTGAATTATTAATAGCTGGCCACATAAACCTGAAGCTTAAGCTAGTTTCCAGGTCACATCCTGAACTTCCATTCTGCACCACATGTACTTTGGAAATGGTAAGAAATAGAAGGCAAAACTCCCCCAGTAAAGCATACGCAACTTCTCTGGATGTGAAAGAATTTTTGCTGTTGCTGTCACCCATTTCATTAGCCCGGAGGGAAAGCTTGTCCAGCGTTTGTGCTGACAAGAGTCTCTTCTTGCTGGGTAGTTATCACTTACGTCTTCAGCTTCATGCTTGGCAGAGCTCAGCAAGCCCAACGGTGCTTATTGGAATGACTTCAGTGGAAAGTCTCCCTGTCACAAGGTTTGACACTAAGCCAGTGCTTTGAAACTGGTGGCCTTGCTTAGTTAGCAGACAAAAGTTAAAATCATAGGGAGGGGTTGTAGATCAGACTACAGAAAGCATTGCACATCCTCCTGATGCTTCATATCTCACACTGGCACGAAGATTCTCATCCTCTTATCTGTTCACCAGACTCACCTTTAAGAGCTACATTCCAGGTACATCCCATAAGCTTCCACAGAGTAACAAAATACTAGGTAGGGGGAGTTTTACTGTTATTTTCACCAATAAATCTCAGTGTTTTGCCAAGACAATTTTCATCATTGCAAAAGAAGAAGAAGGAGGAAAGAAACAAGGATTAATGTTCAGTCACCCATCTGGCAGAAGTACGAACAAAACCCAGGTATCAACAAGTGCCATGTTCCATCATCGGACTGACACATCCTGCAAATACACATGTAAAACCAGGATATCGTAGGAGAAAAAAAGCTAGCAAAGGTCCTCGCTAAATAAAACAAAACCAAGAAATATTTGATTGAAAAAAAAGCAACAGGAAACTTTAGAAACTCAGAACGTCCAAGAAACAACTCTCTTCTGTTACTCTTTAAAGAGCCACCCAGCTTGACCCTTCACAGCTGATGGCGCCCATCTAGATCAGAGTTCAAACCAGACAGTGACAGCTCTATTTCAGCAGGTACCAGGTACTACAAATCATAGCACTGTGAGGGCAAGGGATGGAGGCAAGGAGGTGAGGAAAATATGAACACAGTGAACAACTTGGGCAGAGGGAATTGACTTGCAATGAATCAGCTTCTCCAGTGGCAGATCAGAAGCACCATTTCTTCTGACATGGCCTTGCCTATATAATTGCAAATGAAATTTCATTGTTTGGACCTCCTGGTATTCAGACCCCACATGTAATTCAATCTGCCTTAAGCAGAAGCATTTTGTAATGTGATTTAAGGGAAAAAAAGTTTGATACAAATACTCTTATTTCATTTCAAATTTGTGCCATTGGCAAAGGCTGTGCTAGCATCTTTTTGTCCTGCATGTTTGAATTAGACAGTTAGCAGCTCTTTTTTGTCAATCACCCGTGGATTAATTCCATTTCTGCCCTGTCCCCAAGTCCACTGTCATTAGGAGTAGATGCTTTGGTTTTCTTTCCTCATCCTTCTCACACATTAAGCCAACCATGAAGAGAACCTCAATGGAGTACAACTTCCTGCTCTTAGACAAAGCAGACGTGAAACATTCAGCAGCCATAAAGAAATATGCTCACTCCAGAAAGCCTTTTTACTCACAGTTGCAAATGTTGCATATTTATATCCGGAGGGAGCTGGCTATCTACTTCAAAGGCAAACACAACATCATCAAAAAGGCCTAATTGTACCAGGCACATGGTGCAGCATAGCACACAGGGAAGATGTTCTCAGGCCAAAATGGCTAAAATACTGTTTTCAAATATTGTATTTATCAGAAAGGAGACATTCTGGATCTTGGTTTTAGACAGTTGTAAATTTAGGAGCAAGTCCAGGATCACTGTAATGTTAGCTTTAGAAACACTGAGAGTGCTGATTCAGGGAGGGCAGCCACAGGGGAAGGGAAGACCCATGAGAGGGCTTGCAAGCGAAGCCTTACTGATCCTAAAACCTTCTCACCATGCACCCTAAAGCCCACCCTGTGGAGGCTAAAGAACTCTGGTTCCCAACTGGAAAATACCTTAATCCTGCACTTCCACTTTGTGCCCACATTATGGATTTTGCCAGCTTGTTGCCCTCAGTTAAAGATGCATCTTTGCTGCTACGAGATCTTGGTGATGCATTTTGAGTCTAGACTACAGAGTTGTCTTCTGACAGAAGGCTCTGCTTTCTGAGGACACTGGCAGTGGTAGAAATCAATGCAAACAGACGACAACCATGGGTGGCTGCATGAGAAACTGCAACTTATTCAACAGAAGGTCCATGCTTCAGTGAGCAAAACATGCCATGCGTCCATGTGTAGTATGGCAAAAAGTCCTATTGTAATTTGGTATGGGAGTCTTTTCATACAGAGAAGGAAAATCTCTGATCTAATTCAGGGATAATTACAGGGCCATAAAGGATGTCCTGTTATTCATCACACCCCAAGAGTTCAAAGAATTCCTCATCAAATCTAAACTAAAGGAATCCCAAGCCTCTTCTAAAGCTCCTACAGCTCCTTTTCCAAAGCAATTGCAGTACTATGGAATATCAAGCAGAGAAAGCTAATCAGAACAATTCAAGAACAGAAAATCTCAAAGAGAAGACCAAGGGAAAAATAAATCAGTGAGGACCCACAGGCTTCTGATGCCCGTTAAGTAAAATTAATCTGTAATGTAATTAGACTTCTCCACAGAGAGACAGGTATAATTGAATTAGAGGTGCCTGGGTAGAGTTTCAGAGTTTAGTGGATCCTCCCAGGCTTTCCCACCCTCGTCTCCCACTTCTACAAGCTCACAAAACTCTTCCTCAGTTCATTTCTAAGCACCTTCCCTGAGACAACATAATTAGAATTGGCTACTTCTCTCTTGCTCTACGTCAGACAAACCAAGTCCTGCTCCTGCATAGCAAAGTTCATTCATCATGGATTAACCTTAAAGCCATTTTTAAACTGTCACTCTTAGAGTTGAAGGATTTTGCCAAGTGTTTCCAGGAGCTGTTTAAATTCCCTTGCTTTTGTGATATCTTGTTCTGCCTTTATCTAATAGATTTGTACACAAATCTGGGGCAGGACAGGGCTTTCAAGGAGCACTCCCCAATAGGTTAAGCCACTTAGGGAGCGGAATGTGTTTACTCTGGGGATAAGTCAGGCTGGCTGTGATTTAGGGCAGGCAGAGGTGAGTGGGGCCAAGTCCAGTCTTACCATGACCACAACAACAAAGCAACCAGTTACAAACAAAGTCCCACACCTCTTAAGGCATAAAATATTCCCTGCGATCAATGTTAAACTTTAAACATAGGAAAGATTATGCTATGAAAACTTGATTTAGCTTAGATCTTAGGCAGAAGCTCTTCCCTGTGACGGTGCTGAGGTGCTGGCACAGGGTGCCCAGAGAAGCTGTGGCTGCCCCATCCCTGGCAGTGTTCAAGGCCAGGTTGGACACAGGGGCTTGGAGCAAGCTGCTCTAGTGGAAGGTGTCCCTGCCTGTGGCAGGGGTTGGAGCTGGATGAGCTTTAAGGTCCCTTCCAACACAAACCATTCTAGGATTCCACAATCCCCCAGGAAAATGGGCAGAAACCTTTAGTTCATTACCCATGCAAAGGCAGGCTGGGAGGATGAGGATTTAACTCCCAAGAGGTTCTATGCTGTTTTTTGATTTTTCCATAAAAAATAAGCCAATGGGATGCCTCATTCTTAGCTAGGTGGTACCCTAACACCAAGAAATCAAAGTATGCTACCCAAGTGTTCCTGAAACTAATTGACAATCCTGTTATGGACACATGCAGAGCTCCTGAAAGAAGGATCCACCCAACACCTGATCCCTGGCACAGCGCGATTTCAACTTTCCCTACGTTTCATCTTCAGCTGAGGTAGGTTAGAAGCCTAATTTGTGGCCTCTGTCCCAGGTACATTTCCCACCTGAAGCTGTAGCTTTAATTCTAATCAACAGAAACATCCCTCCTAGCTCTCGTATGAACATCAAGTAGAATTTGCTGGCTTACGGATTTCTTTCTGTTCTCTTAGAGAAGTTACACAGAAGGTGTTCCCACAACTGAGTTTGTAAATCTGAAGCCTTTTTTTGAGTTGAAAGACTTAAAATTAGTTTTTTTCTAACATTTACTTCTACTTCAAGAGAAAATCCTAAGCCTTAAACTTGCAATTATTCTGCCAGTGTAGTATACTATATCCTCTGTTAATCTTAGGAAATGAGTGAGTAAGAATGACTTCTGTGTAGTCTGTCTTTCTTTTTGGTCTAAATCTTGGGAAAAAGAAAAAAAAGAAGGAAAAAGGAAAAATCGAAAAACAAACAATAAACCCAGAGTTGAAAGAAGCATCTCTCATTAGTGCTCCAGTTACCTGGTGATATTAATGTTTCAGCAAGCATTAAGAGCAAGGTTTTGAAGCCAGAGCAGCGAGTGTTCTTGAGCTTCTAGATGTATGAAACAAAAACTTCAGATGTTTGCTTCCTTATAATAAGGTAAAACCTAAGGATCTGAGGCTAGAAATATTTAGCTTTCTAATTGATACAGAAATCAAATAGATGTAGGTAGATAAGTCAAAAATTATGGAGCTAGACTGTTTGCAGTATTTTGGGGGGGGGGGGGTGTCCTAGTCTTCTGTTCTCTTGCTTCAGAAGTTTGACTAAACAAATTCTGAACTAGCCACATCTGAATATCAAGTGCTGAACAACAGATTGGTTCCTGGCCATTTTATAGTCAGAAGTGGTCAATGCAATGGCTCTCTCTTCCAGAAACAGACCCTCCATCCCTTCCCGTCAGAAGGATGAAATTGCAGTGTCCCACTTTCAGCATCACCATATTCTTATCTTACTGATTTGTAACAGTTTTCCAGCTCTAGGAGTCACAACCTTCATTAAAATAGAGTAAAAAGCTCTGTCCCTCACCCTCCACGGTTGTTAAAATGGGTTTCACAAGCAAGTCTGCAACCTCAGTGTAACACTGATGTTTAAAGGCTTTGGCTGCAGAAAGCTGCCTCTGTCTGTTATTCAGCATAGCACAAAACAATATGCAATTTAAATAAAAATAATCATACTTCAAAAGCACTTACAGACTATCTGAAGACCAGACTGATAGGTGACCACAGGAACCAAGCTAAAATGAAAGCTTTTGCACAGATACAGTATAATCTTCTGTGTGGTATTACTATCATCACAGTTGCACATATTTTCACAGAAGGACATTGTGACATCTATCCCACCTAATCACACACCATTAGTAAGGAAGACACGATAATCAAACAAGACCTTCTGTAAAATTGCAACCTTTTAAAGAACATGACAATAATTGCCATAACTGCAGTGAAGTAGTGTATGATTCTATAAGCACAGAGAGACATTTTTATCTTCCAGATAGCATGTGCTGCTACACCAGAGACTTCAGACCTGGCAGAGCTTTAAGTGTGTCCACTGCAAAAGTCACCCATAGATGCAGCTCAGCTGCACAGTGGCATGAATTCTGCAGGTCTCTGGGAAGATACTGATTAGACAGAGAAACCTGCCTTTACCCAAGTTGACAGCCATTCCCTCTCCTTTCATAAAGGCTGCTAAGGAGCAAATCCTTCTGCCATGCTAATGGATGCATCTAAGTTTCAGATAACGTTTAGGTTAACATTCCCATCTCAAACAAGTATCATGACCTGGCAGATTTATTCTGAATTGTGCATTTCTGACCCTCATCTGAGGGAGGCATAGGAGGGTGAAAACCAGACCTCATGGTGATTTGACAGCAGTGCTCGGAGTGATCGAGAGTGCAAGACCTTGGTAGAGGACAGATGGAGTCCCCAGTACTCACACAGCGCAGTGGTGAGCTTCTCTGGCTGGTCATAGTGCACCATCGCAACGCAGAGTGTGTTGAGGGCAACCACGCAGAGGACGACCCAGTAGAAGCTCTGAGCTTTCACCATGCGCCGGATGAAGAACCGGAACATCTTCTCTTTCCTCCTGAAGTAGGATGAGCTCTCGTTCTTCCCACTCTTCAAACTGGCACGGGCAAAAGGAGACCCTGGCATAGAAAGAAGAGTCACCACACCACATCCCGGCCAGCCAAAAGCTGGAGGATGTTGCTGGGCACACAGATCTGCACCCGAGCACCAGAAACACGGCTGAGCAGAAAGCTGGGCACATTGACTATGGGCTGAGCAAGGGATTCTTGCTTGCAATGACATCATGAAGGATGAAAGCTGAGATTTTAGAACTTCATGAATGAATGCCCAGCATTACCATCTAAAGAAACCAGGCTTCCAACTCTATGAAGCGATCTTGAATATCCCAGTTTAACTCATAACTGTTGTGTTCCTGGTTGCCTGGAGGTACAGCAAGAGTCTGGCACAGTGGTATCATTGCCTGCAGTGTGGAGCACATCCTCTTGAAACTGGGCAGTGCAGCTGGCAACAGGAAAGCTAGTCCCTATTTCCCCTACTCCAAGGACAGGGCAAAGACCCAGCCCTTACTACTGAACTGAGTGAAGTCTCCTTATTTCACCCTCCAACTTCATGTATTTCTACAGCAGAGGGCTCAATGTGCCTCCCCGCTTCATATTTTGGGCACAGCTACTCATTTGTACCAATTCTGCCTGTATCAGCTATATTTTGTGTCTGGTGTGAAACCCTGGAAGAAAGTCAAGTGTTTTAACAATAGGAAGCCGACGGAAAAAATGATTTCTAATGTAAGCTCTCCCCCTGTGGCAGCAGGCACTCTTCAAACAGAAGATGAAAAGGCAATCTCCGGCCAGTGCTGAGGCAGGAGAAATCAGCACACGTTACTCAGACACGTGTATCCCTTGGAGTTCATCTGCAGCAGCCGCAGACCTTGTTGCCAGCAGGGAAAATCATGACTGCCACAGGCTGCCCACTACTTGGTTCCTGCTGTGCTGGCACCCCTCAGAGACTATAAGCAAACCTTGCTTATAGATGGTTTGTGGCAAGATGTTTTGTTTCACTGGAACAAGCTGCCCATGGAAGTTGTGAATGCTCCATCCATGAAAGGATGGAAAGGAAGGAAAGCCAGGTTGGAAGAGGCTTGGAGCAAAATAGTCTAATGGAAGGTGTCCCTGCCACTGGCATGGGGCTGGAAATGGATGAGCTTTAAGGTCCCTTCCAACCCAAACCGTACTATGATTCTAGGATAGTATGCTATTGTCCTTCCCCATCATGGGATAGAGCCTCCCAGTAAGTAGGGCAGAGCAGGATGCACATGGTCCTGTCTTGGACAAAGCACCACGAGAGCATATAACTTGCATGGGCTGCCGTTGGAGATGGCTGAGTTACATGAACAAGGTGTTTGAGCTGCGGCTTCTGAATTTTTGAGTGTACTCCCTTACATTGCAACACTTGGCAGCAGTGGGACTCTCACCCTGTTTCATCCTGCAATAACATCAAACACAGCACCCATAAAAAGGATGAAGCATCCAGATGTGACAGCAATGGGTTCTCCAAGCCTCACAGCTACACAAGAGCAGCTGTGCTGTGTTCCCAATAGAAAGCAAGCTCTCTGCTCCATGTCACATTTTGGCTATCCACCGACATGCCAAATGCAGGGCTGGCCCTGGCCAGGCTTTGAACAAGCTCCTTGTGGAAAAGCTCAGTGATGTTCTGTTGGTTTGATAATCCTCCCTTCGGCAGTTAAAAAAAAACCAACCAACAAATCATACTGCTTATCTACTGCTTTAAGAAAACAAGGTGAAATACAGGTTACAGTAATGGTTACACCATATTGTAATACTGTTTAGCAGGTAAAGACTTCTCAGATATTCAAGCCAGACTATACTCTCAGATCTGCATGGCCATGTCTGCTGTCCTTTTGCCCCCTCTCTACTGGCTCTACTGATCTTCCAGAAAAGAAAAGCAGCAGTATTTAAACTGATCTCACATAGAAAACACCCACTTCTACAATCTCCACTGTCTGGCAATTAAGAATGTCCTGTGCCTGGTACAGTGTAGAGGGTGGGAAGCCAGAAGGAGCCAGCATCTACTGCTGCACGCTTATTAGTGCTGAAAGAAAGGCTGGGAGTTGGGAGAAAAGAAAAGAATAAATGCTAAGAACAACTCCAGAGAACACACCGGGAAGTCTTTACCACTATAGAGCTTTATAATATAATTATAAGGCTCATTGAGGTACTTGTGTTTGAATTAAAGTGCAACGTATTCAGTCAACGGCCAGCAAGAGACCTGTCAGAGTCTCTAGCACTCCGGTCTGCATCTTCACTCAGTAATTATATTGTTAGTTCTTCCACAATCCTTAGCTCCCATCAGCAAAACATTACCGAAAACCATCCAAAACCCCCTCTCTCAGAAACATATTCTTTATGCATAATTGCCCATCTGATCCGATTGTTTATGTTATGCAGAGTTTCAGCCTTTTCAGGAGCCTGCGCAAGTATCTGCTTTATCCATTTCTTTTTTTTCTGCCTTGTTCCATGAATCAAAGTCAAAAACACTTCTCCCAAGTGGGTGAACCACTTGCAGAAGGTGGAAAGCACTGCTGTTATTTTCCCTGCCATATGCTCCTGAGACAGTTCCCAGCTCTGCATCAGATTATCCACAAGTCCAGATGCTCCGTCATCCGTTGCCACCTGAAACGCTGAATTCCAAGATCTGTTTGCGTGGCATGGGTGCCCAGAGCCTGGAGGGACTTGGATGCGAATGCAAAGACCTCATGATTATTGCCACAAATGTTCCAAAAATGACCACTCCTTGTTATCCATGCAGGGATCTGAGCTGCTTGAAATAAATCAGAGCAAAAATGCACACGGCTGCTGCATTTTTGTCCTCTTTCAGCAACAAACCTCTCATACAACTGTCAGTTTAACAGCTTCAGCCTGCTCGGTCTGGGGTAACTGTGGTGGTTCAACACTGCGTGATGGGGTCAGTAGCATGCTCAGCAACATTCAATTCCTGCAACCAGGCCTTCGTTGGAACTACATACTCTTAAGGTCCTTTCCAACCCAAACTGTTGTGTGATTTAAAGGGTAAAAAAATAAAATCCAGCAGCAGCTCAAATCTGTTAAAATGTTAATGCCAAATTTCCAAGAGCATTTGAGGCGCTCATGCTTGCAAGCATATATGGACATGTACTCTCAAATGTACTGTTTGTGCTGCTCCACGTATGCATCCAGGATTTGCTGCTTCGTGGTAACTGGGGTGCCAAGACATTTCTGTGGAAGATAATGAGAACATCTGCTGCTTCAGCAGCAGAGCAAAATACAGACTCAAACAACAGGGACAGGAATAAGCAAACTAGCTAACTCTGAAGCAGTCAGGAAGATGTATCCCCAGCCAGCAAGTAAAAGCCCATTACTGAAAGGTTTTTCTGTTGGTGTCCTATCAGCTTCCCTTCTATGGGGTGCTGTGCACTCAGAGCCTACCTCTCCCTGCAACTCCAGACCTGCTTCCTGCCTCTCCCCCAGCAGTGTCTCAGGAGGATCCTGGTTCTCTGCTAGCTGCAGCACCAGCAGCACCTCTGTAGCCTGACAGTGCCTTAGTCACGAGAGCTGAAGACACCAAACTCACACCATCAGTATTATCCCATGCAGGATGCCACCCTCTGTATTGGAGATATGTGGGTAACTGCGTGCACACGAATGTGATATCTCCATATCTAGCTTTAAAAATGTAGAGAATTGCCTTAAGATCCTCTTACAAGGCAAGACCAAGAGAACTGGGGCCTCTGCCTGGAATTTCCCAGGAACCATTGACACAACAAAGGCTGCAAAACCACACACTGTGCATTAGTGGCGGATGTGACTAAGTGTCCACTTCCTCTCCTCCCTACAACAGCTGAGGCTTAGAAGCACCATTTGACATATTGGGGTTTAATTAGCATGGATGCGCATGTTCCAAGCAGAATCACACTATGGCCAACACAGCACAGAGTCTCCAAGCATCTAGGCAAGGCTCTTTAAAGGGTGCAGCATGCAATAGCTGAGCAGGGCAGCGTGGGGAGAGGGTGAAACCACAAAGCCTTTTGCTTTGGGAAGTTGAGTGTTGCTGCAGGAGCAGTGGTCATTCTCCTTCTTGAAACTGCAGCTTCTGGAGGCAAGAAGTCGCTCAGAGGAAACATGACATGAACGCGTTTAGGTGGAGATCTGAACCTCAGGGAATGCGAAGCCAGTACTCACCAACGGAGCAAATGTCTGTGAAATGGTCCTCACCTTCTTCAGCATGAATCAGGTCGTTTTTGCTCTTCTTTATCGCAGCTCTTTTCAACACTGTGTGCAAATTAAAGAGAAAAAGCCCCGTGAGCATTCAGAGTGGCTTCTCTCTCCCCCTCCCTTCACTCTCCAGGGACAGCATTTACTTCCCAATGCCAGCTCAAAGCTCTCACGCATGGGTAAGCTGGAGCAAACTAAGCGACCTACAACCTTGCAGGGCCTCTGCATGCTTCAGTTCCAGGGTCATTTAGTTTTTTGACCTTCCAGATGTTGAAGGCTTGGCCATGCACAGATCTGCATCCTTACACTTCACCCCAGCAGATGCAGGAGGATGGGGGAGCCACTGCAGCTGCTGGACCATTCAGCACAGCAGAAAGGCTGGGCAGGATCACTGAATCTTTCTGAGCCCCAGTGGGTTATGAGTGCTTCTATCCATTAGAAACATTAATGCTGCTTACAGTGTGCACCATTAAGAAGTTACGTTTACAGTGCTCAGATAGAGTTTACCGCAGAACAATGCCTCAAGGAGCAGAAATGCTGTGTCAAAAGCAACTGCCACAAATCATCCTCTTAATAGCACCCAGTATACGATTCCTTCCCTCTGGGGATGTCATAACTCGTTGAAAACACACTTTGTCCAACAGCATCTCTTGTGGGGAGGGGAAACAGCTACACCGTGTTACTTGACAGGGAAAGAGAACTGGAGGTTAAGGCTCAGAGAGGTCTGCACCATTCACCCAGTGCACAAGGGGTAAGATGGACACTGGTCCCACGACCACCTACCTGTGAAACCTTGAGAACTAGCAGAAAAAAATACGTTGACACAGTTTGGCAACAGCTTCAAGACATACAGTAACTAAGCACCATTTGCTATCAGCAGTAAGACACCCCATGGTGTGGTGATACATACTGGTCAGATGGCACACACAGCAAACCACGCACTCTGCAGCGACTGCCCTGGGGGTAGCTTTGGACAAGAAGATCCCCTCACTCTACACAAACTTCCTGCCTTGACAGAGAAACTGAAGCGCTGCTTCCTCCACAGCTAAGGCAAGTGTTAGTGCTTCTGTCACTCCAAGAAAACACCCAGACCGTCACCCAGGTTCAGAGGCTCAAAGAGGAGAGGATGCTCTCAACCTGTGATCTGGATCCCATTTTGTCTGCAAGAGGAGAGGATGCTCTGAACCTGTGATTTGGGTCCCATTTTGTTTGCAAATAAACCTGCTTTTGCTCTTTTCTTCCCCACCCATCAGGAAGCTGAATCTTCAGTCCCAGCACTATCAGCTGTTGGGTCCTGCAGGCTGCATCTGTCTCCAGCAGGTCCAGGACCAGCACTGGAACGTAACCAGACCTGAGAACAAAGTTTTATAACACTCCCTGGTGTGACTTGAGCACCTTCCTCTTTATCTTCTCCCTGAGATAACTCCTGCCTATGTTTAGCAATGAGGTCATGCTGTCTCTTCACACAACTTGGATGCAATATCCGTCTGTTTTGGGGATGAAGATAATTTACCAGCATAGATATGGGCTGCTCCTTAGCAGTTGGCTTCAAGGCTGGGAACATTGCTGGGCTCCTTTAGCTTACTAGTATAGAGTGAACTTTAGCATACCTGGGTCTTCACTCCATGGCCCGCACCCACCTCTAGTTTGCTCACAGACTACTCTTCCAGACACCCATATCACCCTGAGACTAACAGCTCTGGCTGCACCCACGTGCTGGACAAACTTGCACAACACACACACACCCCACGCACCCTCACACATGCACAAAGATTTGCCAAGCACACCTCAGCCCTGACCTTCTGCAGCCCCAGCTCTTCCATCCCCAAGTCCTCCCCGAGCACAGGTCACCATGCTGGCCAAGGAGGACCAGCAGCAGGGATCCTGATGCCCAAGGAGCCGTGTGGCTCGGACTAAGGTGCAAAACCACCCATGAAACATGGCTGGTGACCTGGGCACGTGGGGCTGTGGGGAAGAAGCACTGCCCCGCTGTGCCACCTAAGCCCCTGGTGATTTGCAATCCACTCACTGTTGTAGCTGCTGCCGCTGCTAGTCTCTGCCGGTGCGGTGCCTTGTTGAATCGGCCCTTCCGAGGCGGCCCTCCCTGACAGTGAATGGGAGGAGAAAAAAAAAGAGGAGGGAAAGGGAGGGGAGGGGAAAGGAGGAGACATGGGAGGACGAAAGATGGTCAGAAAAGGGAGAGGGAAGAATCTTTAACTGAACTTTGACTGGCTGTCGCATCCTAAGAGCTCATCGGTCTGGAGGCGCAGGGAGAGCAGTCCCTGCAGCCTCACTGCACCTGCATCCGAAGCTTGGTACCTCCAGCCATCCTGCATCGCTAGGGTCACACGTCAGAAGGTAGGATCACCACACCCTGTTATGTCTTACTGCTTACAAGTAACAGGGGTCTTAGTCTCTCTGTCAGATCCAGTTGGAAACCTCGGTTTAGAGCCCTGCCTTCTCTTGGTCAATGCATTTCTCTTCTGGCATCCACTCTGCAGCCTACCCCCACCACAAACTGCACGTAGACACAGCCAGCTGGGCTTGGCAGAGGCTGACCGGTCACACTGGTGTGGTCCCACAGGCAGAAAAGGGACCAACCGACCCCAAGGGCAGAACCCCATCCCAGGGTGGTGTGTCACATAACCTGCAACCTCAAAAAGACCTAACATGGGAAAAGGGACTCTTTAGCCCAACCTATGCCAAGTGCATGCAAGAGCGTGTTTCTCACGCCCTACTGGTTACAATGGAAAGCCATGTCAGCGTACACAGGTGAACCTTTCATGTATCACAGGAGGAAAAACCACACAACAAAACAACCTACCGTCCAGAGGAGATTTCTCTTCTGCATTCCTGTCTTCCTCTGCCAGCATTACCTCCTCTGTAAAAGGAAAAGAAAACAGCAAGGGTTCAACTTCAGGTTTATCACATCCCCTCTTTAAAACCAGCTGAGCTGGATGCAGCAGGCATCTGTGCCAGCTGCCACCGAGCTTACCCCATTGCACCACCCAGGTACAAGAAGTCTGTGGTGGAAGGGACGGCTCAGAGTACTGTGTGTCTGACCCCATGTCCCTCTTGCACAGGGGGAGGAGGCCAGATGCACCTCTGGAAGACTGTAGCACTTCCTCCATCTTCACAATCAACCACCCACTCCAGTGTCTTTACCCAGCTATCATCAGCAAGGGACTTCTGGAGACCAAAACCCTTCCTTCAGACCTAGGCAAGACTGCAAGTCAGAGGATGCCATAGCCAGCCACACTGGAGACAGAGAAGTGAATGACTGCTGCTCTTCCATCTCCATAAAGAAGACTTAAGACTCAACCTCTGATAAACAGACCTCATGGCACAGGGTAACACAGGCAGGGATTGCTGCTGCCACATCCCAGAAGACAGAATATCACCAAATAGCCATCACATTGAATCTTTGTCCCGATAAAATCCACAGCCAAGTTTCCATGGGGGAGTTACGGCCGGCCAGTTCAGATTGCGCAACACGTGCTAGAACACCATGGTTGGTTTCCATCCCTATGTAACTCATCTGCAAAATACAATTTTATGCTTTCCTAGAGGAAAAGAATCCAGAAAACCCTGAAAAGGCAACTTCCCCAAACTGACTCATTTTTATCTGTGTGAAAGATAAATTTCCTGAGGTTTCACAATGCAAATGTCATCACCCGACTCCGTTGCAGTACGCACCACGCTGTGCCAATATTGAAACCACAGATTTGAGCTCACTGCTAGAAAATCATGCGAGGATTTTCTAAAGGACAGTCTAAAGCAGAAGAAATATTGAGTTAGCAGCTGGTAAACTGTACACTTCCTTATGTTATTATAAATGACAAATTCTTTCACATGCTTGATGTAATTTGGGATCTTACTAAAAGATCTGACACTTTTCACACCACATTTTGCTTTAAAGTCCATTTGAGCCAGTCTGGATGGAAAACTAATTTCCAAAACAGAAATAATACAAACAAACCAGAGGCCAAACATCAAAGCGTGTAGCTGAAAACTGTATAGAAGAATACTAGAGGGATCAGCACTATGCAGAAGCCTTATATAATCTCTTTATTAATCATCTGGGAAAGAAAGTGAATGATCCATTAATAAGACAGTAAATTGAGAAGGCTGGAAAATAATATCCAGGACTGAGGTAGAATGTAAAAATCAAGCAGAGGAGAACAAAAGTGCAGTTCTGGTGTCCTCTATATAAGAAGGATATGGAGCTGCTGGAGAACGTCCAGAGGAGGCCACAAGGATGATCAGGGGCTGGAGCACCTCCTATATGGAGAAAAGCTGAAAAAGTTGGGGCTGTTCAGCCTGGAGAAGAGAAGCTGCATGGAGACCTCAGAGCAGCTTCCCGTGGCTGAAGGGAGCTACAAGGATGCTGGAGAGGGACTCTTCATCAGGGACTGCAGTGATAGGACAAGGGGTGATGGGTTCAAACTGATACAGGGGAAGTTCAGGTTGGAGATAAGGCAGAAGCTCTTCCCTGTGAGGGTGCTGAGGCGCTGGCGCAGGGTGCCCAGAGAAGTGGCAAATGATCCATCCCTGTCAGTGTTGAAGGCCAGGCTAGACAGGGCCTTGGGCAACACGGTCTAGAGGGAGGTGTCCCTGCCGGTGGCAGGAGGTTGGAACTGGATGATCTTAAGGCCCTTTCCAACCCAAACCATTCTATGATTTTATGAAAATAAGAAAGTACAAACTAGTGCACCAGAGAGATGGAGGAAAGGAGAGCTGAGAGGGAGGGAAATGTCAGGTGAGCTAAAAGTGTGCATTTTAAGAAGTATGAAATCCTTCCAAAACCCACAAGCCAGTATAATGCAGGTTTTTTCTGAGGCTCATTAAGACAGGTCAGGAGAGAGAAATGGACTCTTTATAGACAGTTCCAAAGACTTCTCTCTGATACCAACACCTCAGAAACCAAAAGGTTCTTCCAAAGTCTTGCCTTAGGGAAAAGCTGTACTGGTGTTTGGAGGTTAAAAGTATATAAGTAGTTAAACAGCAATTAACAATGAACATGACTGCCCTAAAACACACAGAAGGGAGGGGGGTCTGATATGGAGACCCCTTCCCAAAGGCAGCTGGACAAAAGGACTGTAGATGTGAAACACAAAGCAAACCTGTGCTGGAGTCTGAGGTGCTCTTATAGTGGACATTTTCCTATAGATTTTTTTAAAACCCTACACTGCTCATGAAGTGTGATTTTAAAAGCTTTGTGTCGTATCTGAAAGAGATATACCCACCTCACTGCACAGGATTCTGCATAAAGAACGAGTCTAACTCCTAGTACTGGTAAAGTCAGTAGTGTCACATAGATGTTTTGCACTCATTTGGATTCAGGGATCAGTTCAGTCCTCAGGACTTTGGGGTTCTTCATTTTGTGCTCCTCTGCACAATGCAGATGTAGTTTCTTTCCTTTTCTACATAATGGCAAATCACAGTGAAAAGTCAAAACCATTTGGAACGGAATGTATGTTCAGGTCTTGCAACAAACAGCAAGCATGGGAAAGTGAACCCATCCCAAAGGAGCTCTTCTGCCACTCTGAGAAAGAAACGCTGACTTTTAGACAGCGTTTGGTAATTAAATAGATTAATACGAGAGACTGCAGGGAGCAGACACACTGCATGCAGGTGAGCAATGAAAATAATGACCTGGCAAAGGTCAGAAGGCAAGCAGCTGCTCTTCAGGGACAACTCCTGGGTGAGTGCAACACAACAGGGCTGTGTCTGCAGAGGGAAGAACCTCTCGAGAGCCAACACTCTTACTGGTCAATGCTCTGAGGGTTGCTGGTTGCAGTCACGTCTTGTCAAACACTAAAACACTGCAGGAAAGAAAGAGCCTATTCCCTTAGCTGGAAGCTCAGTCCTGCACTTGATTCGTATCAGTGCAGGAGGACAATCATTGCACTGGTTATGGTCAAAGATCTGTAGGTAGGAAAAACAAAATCTAGTTTTTCCCTATTTCCAAGCAGCATCTTGTGTTGCATGCTCCTGTAACAATTTGTCATGACTCTCCATTGTCCTTTGGGCAGCAGAAGAGGAACAATCCTGAGTCCCCAAATCACCCTGGGGACTGTGAACTGTGTGGATACATAATCATCATGATTTGCAATGGTGTGCTCATGCCATCTGATGTTCCAGTGTCACCTGTGTCCCCAGTCAGATGGCAAGGGGTTTAGCCATACTGAGATTTCAGAAACCAGATTTAGAAATGCCAGTGGCACCTCAGAATGTGTAAGGTGTGACAATCTGATACCAATGTATTATCACCTACGAAGCACACACTCATTTGAGACAGCTGTGTAAACCAGCTGAGCCTTTGCCCCAGAATTCAGGCCCTGAGTTGATGCTCAAATGTATCTCCATCTATAAACAGGACTCAGCTTTACTTTTCCCTTAAAATAAACAAACCCCAAGTTTCCTCTATGCAATTCCCTCAAGCCCAACATTCTTCCACACCATTTCTCCCCAGTTCTCTCTCTTTGTAGTTACTTCTGTCTGTCTTGTCTCCTCTGGGAAACCAAAGTGGTTTTACCTTAGTGGGGCTTTACATGGTTTTTAAAGCCTGGTATAAAGCCAGCTCAGCAGGTTAGTCATCATTGCTAGCTCTTGTTTCTAAAGCCACACAGCATCCTAAGCAGAGGATCAGAAGTTGTGTTGCCTTTAGTCATCACTGCAACAGAGAATGGAAGAAGATAATTAGGACGCCTGGAAAACCTCCAAACAACAGTGCTTCTACGTTAGAAATAATATTCAACAAAGACAGTATCAGATCAGCATCTTTCCAGCCTCCAAACAAAGGCACAGGGGCTTCACTGGGATATCAGAGTGAGACATGTCCCAGCAGCAAGATTAATTGCTGGTCATTAAGTTCTGACGACACACAGCATGTTCCAGGACTGGAAATAAAGGCAAACCTTCTACTGAGGAAGTGGCAAAGTGAACAATAAAGGAAAAGCAGCAGAGAGACACAGTGCCCCCTCCATTTCTCTTTGGCATAGGGACATAGAACTTTATGGGCTCTAAAGAAGAGCGGATTATGAGAAATAACTCACATTCAACAGGCAACAGAAGTTAGGAAAAAAGAAAGAACAACTGAATTTAACTGCTGAATTGTTAAATAGAAGAAGTGAATAAAAGAAGAGTAGAGGAAGCCATCACTTTCACATGGAACTCAAATTTGTCTGTCAGGCAATTACTCCCCCTTGCCTTCTTACTCATATTCCTGCCCTTTGTCCCTGATTGTTGGTGTCTTCTCCCAGCTGTATCAGGGGTCTTGTTGCTCTGTTTCTTCTACAGAAAGCTGAAACCTGAGGTTCATAAAGCTTTGTTGTGTCAAGGAATGGCATTCAAGTTACAGAATCAGTGCTGTGTGAAAGAGATGGACTTGCAAAAGAATTAAAATGCAAAAGACATGCAACTTGATTAGCTCTGAAGTGAAAGACTTCCAGTGTGAGCAAAGTGTTTTCAAAATGATGCATGTCCTTGTTAGATAAGAGAAACATCTTCAAAAGGATATTTGTGGGCTTAACCTCGCTTTGCTCTGTGCAGAGGTCTTCTAGCTCTCGGTTGGAAACGCAGCATGACAGCCTAATAGTTGCTACAAGTTTTGAGGAGTTTAATGGAGAAAGCAGCAGTGGCAAAGTCATTTGCATGGATTACATTGCTTGGCTTCAGCCCTTTTTAATTCCTCTGAAAGGCACAGTTTCAAATTGACTTGGTACAGACTTTGCACAGAGCCCAATGAAAACATGAAATGAAGAGCAGAGGCTGTCCCAGCACACAGTGGGTGGAACAGGACAGGGTTTGCTCATCACTGGTAAGACTCTATTTGATATTGGTTGAACTGAAGAAGAGGTGTTTAGGGAAGAGAACTGTTGGCCTGTGCCTTGAGGAACAACATGGTGCCAAGCATTGTCTTTTACCCATATATCAGCTGTCTTCCAATGGTGGGAAGAGTTGGTTCCTTCAAAGAATTTACTAAGAAATAGACAGTTGACTTTATTCTTCAAGATTAAGATTAAAGGTCTGTTTCTACCTTATCCCTACAGTTCACTTCTAGACAATATAAAGTCGGTGTTTATGAGCTGGACATGGCAATTGCCATACACATTTTTGACCTAAATTCTATGAGATGCAAGAGATTATGGGGTTTGATCGTTGCTTCTGGCCTGCAATTCACACTAGTTTTCAAAGCAGTAAGATTTTCTGTCTTCTAAGATGCTTACAGATTTCTAAGTCATTTAAGGTGGCATGACATTTCTTCTTGACACCCTCAAAAAGAAACCCTAAACCTCTACTGAGTTACAATTTTCCTTCACAGAACCCCAGAATCATCAGGGTTGGAAGGGACCCCTGGAGATCATCTGGTCCAACCCCTTGCCAGGGCAGGGCCACCCAGAGCAGGGAACATGGGAACGTGTCCAGGGTGGGTTTGGGATGGCTCCAGAGAGGGAGACTCCACAACCCCTGGGCAGCCTGTGCCAGGGATCTGATACCCTCAATGGAAACAAGTTCTTGCTCATGTTGAGGTGACACTTGTTGTGTCTTAGTTTATGGCCGTTGCTCCTCGTCCTGTCACTGGGCACCACTGGAAAGAGTCTGGCACCATCCTGCTGGCACCCATCTTTGAGATACTGATCTGCATGGATGGGATCCCCTCTCTGGCTGCTCTTCTCCAGACTAACCAAGCCCAGCTCCCATAATCTCTCCTTATAAGAGAGATGCTCCAGACTCCCTGCTTAGTTAGTCTTGACCTCATGATGTGGGAATTTTACATGAACTCACCTGTTACCTCATTTGAAAATATTTAAACCCTCCTGACTACCCTGTGTATCATCCAGTCTTCAACAGGCACCTGAGAAACAAGAGAAGCTAGAAACATCCTGCCTGGCCTCTCTAGAATCCTAAGTGAAGAAAGTAAATTCCAACTCTAAAGAAATTGGTCAGACTGTGGATTGAGTTTTATATTTCAGGTCATGCACGTCTAAATTCAGCACATTTATCTGTGTTACAATTTTCTCTTTCATTCTCCAAACCTCTCTTAAAGCAGCATTTGTTAAACATTTTATCAATTCAGGCTTCCTGTATTAAGTACAACTCACACAAGTATCTGCAAATTAAGGTTACCACTGTTTGAAACACGTTGGTATAAATCCCTCAAGCAGATAATGCTGCAGTGTTAAACAATCCACATTTAAAACAGCCTGAGCTATGTTTGCTTCCATTTCAACCACAACTCCACTTCTGGTGATTTATCAGTAGTGAGCTGGCACCAAAATCTGTCAGCTCTGCCAAGGTACCTGCTTGAAAAATTCACAAGCACTTTTCATCAATATTTTTCTTCCTCTTTATGCTCTTACTTTACCACAGAAAAAAAATATTCAAGGTAACACTAAAAAAAGAAAAAAAAATTAAAATGTATAATTCAGCTACTGAAGAGCCAGAAGTTTCATTCTTACACCACAAATACGAGACAAGTCATTAGACCAGGACTGGAGCGTACTCGAGTCAGTACTTAAGAGGTAGGAAACAAAGACCCCATTGTTTCATTCTGGAGGAGTGAAGTACCTACAAATTCAGTATAAGAAAGGGTGGATAGTAAAAACCCTTCAAATTTTATCTGATTCACCTTTTTAATGCAGTATGCACAGCAAGAGATAATGCAACATCATTCGGATTACAAGTAGCGGAGGCTGTGGGAAACATTAAAGACACTCAAGAGTGGTCAATAAATGATGAACACAATGCTAAATTAAAATCATTGACAAATGGGAGGTAGTGTACATATGAAAGAGTGATTTTAGACACTCAACTCCTTTCCTTGGTCCTAAACTAGTTAGAGCCCTTGAGATAAAAACTTGAGAACTACCAAGAACAAGGAAACGTCCTTTCGAGCTCCAGCAACTACTGAGACTATGTAAACCATTACAGAGCAAAAGCTATCAAAGCATTAAATACCACTTTATGAATCACTGCCATGCAGCTTTCCTACCTTGCATCAGAAATAAATGAGAAAAAATGAACAAACTGCTCAGGGAGGATATTATAAATATTAGAAGTCTGGAGATCCTTCCATAGGAAGGGAGGGGGTGGAGCAGCTGGGTTCTGAATGCTTTAGAGCAGGAAAATAAGACAAAACAAGGTAAACTAAAGCAGAGAAACAAAAGAAATAAAAAGAAATAGGAAGTGCACTCCTGGGCTTATCCTCTCACTGCAGAAAGGCAACCTTTAAACTCGAGGGCAGGACATACAGTTTGGTGGGTTGGTTTGGTTCTGTTTTGAGTCAAACCAACTGCTAACATGTGGAACTCCGTGCTGCATGATTCAGTGAGGGCAAGGAAACAGATATTTTGCATGGATAACGGCATTGTCCCCCACACAGTACTGGACAAGGAAGATTGACTGTCTAGTTTGGAAATCCAAGATCATGTCCTGGCTGAAATCCTGGCCTCTGAAGCAAAAATGGGAAATCCCCATCGATGCCAGTCACAGATTTCAGCTCCTGAATTCAACACTCAATTCTGTTTTGGTTAGCTTTCACAATACCTTTTGTATCCAAAGATTTACTAACACTGCTAAGCTGATTTTAATTATTGATATTATTCAGCTGTACTGGAAGCTTGCTTTATATTCCTGTTGCATTTTCAGCCTTGCTTTTTCAGAGTATTTTTATTATTCACTGATTCAGCTATTTTGCATACACTTTCCTATTCTAGAAAACCTTCTGGATCTTGTGTTAATAGACAAAGTAAAAAGATGGGCATTTGACAGCATACTAATGTGGTATTTATTCAGCACTGGCTACACAGAAATAGAATAACCAGCCATTCCCACAGGGTGCAAAGCTGGAGCAGAGACCGGCTGTATGTTTTATAACTTCTCTACCTCAACTTTCAGACAAGTTCAGCTGATGACCTCTGCGTGGCTCTTCTTGGCAGAGCAGTCACCACACTTAAAGGAAGCACCCCTGCAAAGGAATTCTCATCTTTATTTTATGGATGGGGAGGCCAGGATTTAGAGAAATCACAAAAGCCTTAAAAGAAAGATTAAAAGCCTTAAAAGCTTTTGCCACCAGAGCCAAAGGAGAACCACGGAGCACTGGATAAACCAGTAATTTGTATTTGAGGTAACACAAAAGCTTTAAACACATGGGAAGACGAACTATAAATGGAAAGTGAATGATTCTTCCATAGAATGAAGTGTGGTCACCTAACTGAGGACAGTTGCTTTGAATAAAAGTCCATCAATACAACTGGTACTCAATTGACACTCTGAATAGTGCTATGGGAAATGGTGGTTTCCAGACACTAAACCAACTGCTGCTACTTCTTCCTGGTTTACATTTCAATGATTCAGCCTTCTTTCTCTCTGGACAGGTTGTCAAAAGTCATGCTCACACCACTGCCCTCCAGGGAGGGACCTGCAGCAGGGCAGAGCCCTGCTCCCCAAGGAACGTCAGCCAGCAGATCCTTTCAGAGGAGACAGCAGAAGCAAAGCAGCAAGAGCCACACGTAAATGCTCTTCCAAATAGCGGCACCCAGCTTGTGCACGTGAAACAGAAGCTGTAAATTCAGACAAAGAACAGCTTACCCACAGAACTGCAGCAGGATGCTCTGTCTCCTGGCTTGTACACAGCTTAGGCATGCACAGCGATTTGCTGTGACTGTACATTTACTTGCTTGCATGAGCACGTTTTAGCACATCTGGCCTCTAGCACCAGGATGGGTTTCAAAAACAAGCAATAGTGATGTAGCTTTCAGTGTGGCACCAGCTCACAGGTTAGGACCAGTTCTACCATCAGCTGATGTCAAGCGAGCCACTATGTAATGTTGGACCTCAGTTTCCCCATTTATAAAGAGCAAGGATGAATCTGATGTGCCTAGAAAGGCACCTGAAAATTTATTTGAGAAACCACAGCTTCTTCCTCCCCCCATCACTGTTTTAAAAGACATTTTCACTTTACTTAGGAGTTCCAGCTTCCCAGAAAAGCAAGCAAGGAAGCAAATTAACACCAGAAGATTTCTTGATGCTACGTGAGTGAATTGCACTGTGGTCACGCCAGCTACTCCATGACACAGAAAAGTTATTGGTAATCTTTACTGTCCGATGAAAAGGAAAAGCAAAGCATGCTATTTTTTGTTAAATTAGTGTGTTTGGGTCCTTGAAGTTGCTCACTGCTTGCAATAAAGTGCAATGCTCAGTTATAACAGTTATAAAGCAACGTTAATGTGTACTGGGGCGAGTTCCATGGAAGTGATCTCTATAGCTCATAAAACTGTATTTTGCCATCATAGCAAGAGATGTTTATAAAACAGCTGTGGTGGAAAGTAAATAAAACACAAATGACTCATCCAAGGGAACAGTTTCCCCACTGTGGACACTTTGGGCACTGTATCACTTTTTATATCACACTGTATTAAGACAACTGTTTTGATCTCAGCAATAAAGAAAGACGGCCCAGCTCCTTTGGGTTTGCTTAACAAAACTGAGATCTTTGGCAATAATTTTAGTGTGAATGCTCAGAAACAAGCCCAACAAAAATAACAAGTGCTACCTGGGCCCTCTCTAGTCTTCTGTTACCTCCAATACGGAGGACTAGTTCTCTGTCACCACCAGACTCTTCTTGCCACATGACGCATGGAACAAGGATGGGAGATCTCTTGCCTTACCTGCTTTGAAGATCCACTCCAAGTATCCATTTAGCTCCCGTTCAATTTGCTGCTGCCTGCGGAGTTTCAGGAAAGCCCGACGATTTTCTACCCTCTCTCGTTCTTTGGCAAATTCACTATGGAGAGAGAATGAGGAAGCACATCACAAGTGGTCAGGGAAAACACACAGCCCCTCTTTTGTCTTTCAGGTTGTATCCATGAAGCTTGTGAAGTCGATGACAGCACTAGTGAGTGGAAACCACAGCATGCTATGTGTTGTCATCCAACTTCTCTAGAAGCACGGTATCAAGTCGCAGTGACACCAGCACTTCTTTGGTGTTGGAAGAGCTCTACTCTCCCCTGTTAGCCTTTCTTCAAGTTCTCCCATACTTAAGATGACTGACAAACACAACTCAAACGGCAGCTACAAGTGAGGATGGGCACATTGGGGTCAAGTTGAAATAGCCCCAGTGCTCTGGGTAAGGGGTAACAATGATCTTGCTATTCCCTAAAAGTCACATGGAAAACAAGTATCTCGATGTCAGATCATTAGAACAGGACCATACAGGGAAACCAGAGAGGAAGGTTCATCGTTGGATGAAAGAAGGTTCATAGCAAAAACCTTACCCAAGTCCATCCTACTGCCCAGTTTGAAATGATGCTAAAACAACAGTTCAGCCACCACCCTAAAACACCTACATTGGGAGTTTCCCCAGGCTAATCTATATCACCTCTGAAAAGTTCCTGATGTTTATCTACCATTTACGGAGCTCTGAACCAGCCTCTGCAACCCCTTGTTATATATTGTGGAGCAACTCCCACAATAGCTTAATCTGCATAGTTAAATGTGGGATTGGGCTTTTGTCCCCCATGAACACCAGCAGTTCACCCCTCTCATTTGGGGTCTTAACTCTGCTGCATCCTTCACATCTTCAGCTAGCTGCTAGCTGTTGCAAACCTGGAGTCAGGCACTGCTCATGCCTAAAATCTCACCCAGTCACCAATTCATTACCCACACATGTTCCTCAAACACCAGTGAGAAGATGGGAGAAAGGAGGAAGAATAGGGGGAAAACAAACTGCAGAGTGCCAGAGGCACTTTTATATTCACAGTCTACACTTCATCCTTCAAAGCTGACACTTTTGCTTTGCTTGGCAGGACTGTGTGAGAGGGGATTGTAGGAAGGGATTGTAGGAAGAACTTGGCTCAGCACTGTGACGCAGACCGGTACCAGCCACTGATGCGAGAGCTGCCATCAGCTGAGCTGTTACCTTGACTTTGGCAACACACCCCTGTGTCCCGACTCCCCTTTCCTGTCTCCCACCTGACAGGGCAGCCCATGACCCCATCCTTGAAATGGAGGAAGCTGAAACATCACTCTCAATTGACAGTTCCTCCTTGGCATTCAGCATGTGTCTGCCAGATGAGTCGGAATCTTGCACGTGTCAGCTGGACCACTGATGTTCTCCCTTTTCTTTTTTAATATACTCATTTCTGGTTCAGTGCCTGCTGGTTGGGGCCACAGACCTCCTCTCACTTCTGATTTCTCTCTGGAGCAGGAAGAATGAGATCAGACAGCACAAGGTGACAACATGCATTTAAATTGCCAGACATGGAGGGGTCGCAGCTCCTGCACTGCAGGCTTGAGTCACCACAAACCTCCCAGAGCTGGGCTGTGCTGGGTGGGAGCAGGAGGCAACACACAGTGGGGAGTTTCACAGAATCCAGCCTGGTTTGTGTTGAAGGGACCTTAAAGCTCCTCCAGCTCCAACCCCTGCCACGGGCAGGGACACCTTCCCCTAGAGCAGCTTGCTCCAAGCCCCTGTGTCCAACCTGGCCTTGAACACTGCCAGGGATGGGGCAGCCACAGCTTCTCTGGGCACCCTGTGCCAACATACCACCATTTCATGGCATGCTTCATGAAGGACCTGGGCAGGCAGGAAGGGCAGCAGATAAACCATGGCACCATTCCCTCATCCCTCTGGAGGAGGCCAGGGAGAGCTTTCGCTTGCAAAGCCTTTCACCCTCTGCCAGCTCCTATTTGGCCTAAGGAAAGTAACAGATACCTAGAACTTTTCCCTTTAATCTCAACTTTAAACATGTAAGAAAACAAGGGAGAAACTGTGGAAAGTTGCAAACCTTCAGTAGTGTCTGTACACCTACGCACGCTCTTCAGGGGACATCAAAATGCCATATTTCATCTAAAAATATTTCAGCGGAAGTTTTCCTGTCAGTTCTAAATGAAAACACAGAAAGTCCTATGGGAATGTTTGGTAGCACTAAGTTTCCTCTTTTATTTGGCAGAATTGCCACCAACTGCAAAAATCTCCCAACTCACCAGAAGGAAACCTGAGCAGGAAATATGCTGGTCCTCTAGAATTTTGGCCAGTTCTGGAATGAATAATGATGTTCACCCATTCTCATACTTGGGTTTTGTCAACTTCCTGATGCCCCAAAGCATTCACTTTCAGCACTGTCTGGATAGGCATTAAGAGGAGGAAAGGTGAAAGGTTGGTACTCCTACATACAGTGCAGCAACAGGAGACACTGCTTTGGAAGAAGCCACACTCTGAGTAGATGACTCCCATGCACTTAGTTACAACATGACACTTGTGAATAACTGATTCTATAGAGACAGCAGGAACAAACAGAAACCAAAGGAAGGGCATTCATCATGGAAACCACACACCATCCACTCAAGCCTAGCGCGTCACATTTTTCTTCTCAAGAGTGGTCGGTGCTTAAAGCCACCAGGAAGATGGATGATTGCTGCTTATCACCTTGGTGGGTGGAAGGGCAAAATAAATCTTGGTGTAAGTATTCACTGAAATAGCTGCTTCAGGGAAATTCAGGGGCACCTCCCCCAGCCACAAAAGAGACAAGGTCAACTCATGTGTAACCACCAGGGCTAGGAAAAGACTATAAACCAATGAAGTTCTTACAAGTACTTTATCCATGCTGGCCTTGAATTAAAAATACTGTCACAGCAACCGAAAAGGGAAAAATTAAACAACCTAAAATCATCATCCCCTGAGACACTGATTAACTTTCCTATATGACAGCAGAGAGCTGAAATAGAGCATCATGTAATGTGCCTCCTGGTCTTGGGTTTCATGGCCCACTCCCAGCGTGACAGCAGGTCTGCTGCAAGACTAATCACAGTGTTAAACCTCTGCACGTCGGGTTTTCTGCTTGGAAAGCAGACAGGAATGATTCCCACTCACAGGGAAGAAGCAGAGAGAGATGATACGGCATCACTGTCCTAGCTGCCACTAATGGGGCTGATGATTAGCAATTCCTAATAGCAACACAGGTAATTAGCTGCTCATTCAGGGTAACACCACTGAGCTACACACAATCTCATGAAACCTCAGATGTTAAAATGGGAGTACAGCCTTCAGCTATTGAATCTATAGCACTGTTCAGAGGGAGCTGAAAAAAGCACAGATCTCAGAAGGACTCTGCCAGAGACTCCTGGAATGCAGATGTAAAGAACTTTTAGAATTTTAAGTCTGAAAAATAAATAAATTAAAAAGAAAAAAAAAAAAAAGAAGAAAATTTAGAATTGGCTTCATCTCCAGTCCAAGTACATCAAAGGAATGAGTAAAGTTGCTCCTGGATGGCACATGATGTCCAGGGACATAGTCCTGCCTGGAGGAATACAGCCCTCAGGAATGGAGAGGAGCCAGGTAACTCAAGTGGGTGAGCTGCTGGCAAAGGCACCTGCCAGCACTACAGATGTTTCACTGAGTTACTCAAAGGCCTAAACTCAAGAATCCTCCAGGTGGAGAAACAAAATTGGCCAAGACAGGAGGTTTGATTTGTAAGCTTTGTTGCCTGAATGTGAAGCAGTGCCCAAGAACAGATTTGATACCTGTCAGCAGCCTGGTAAGCAGCCCGTGTCACTCAGGAGCAGGGAAGAACAGGCTGGAGGTAGAAGATGGAGTACAGCAGCTCCTGTGGCTGCCTGGCAAGATGGAAAAGCATCACAACACCTGTTGGAAGAGCAGCAGTGGTACAAAATCACTTGTGTTCTGCTCCTCTGGGGATGCTTGGATGGAAAGTGAAGTGTTCAAAGTTCCTGTTTCAATCCACTCCTTTTACATTCAGCAAGGAAGTAACCCCAAAAGAAGCTTTGTGCCAATTATGCACATAACTCTCAGTAAGCTTGCAACAAGAGCAAGACTGAGGTAGGAATTTCCTTAAGAGGCTGCAAAGGGACTGCAGAGATAAGGACATGCACTTGTAGCACCCGAACATATGAAGATGGTGGATAAGAGAGAGAGTGATATGAACACAACACTATCTGCATTTGTGCGTTTGGCAGGCTTTAGCCACTTGCTCAGGCTGTATGCCACTTAGCAGGCCCTTCAGAGTGCCTTGTGCCTTCCTAGCACAAGGACTGCACACACTTCCAGGCCTCCCAGCATCCTGAGAGCATCCACATGCAAGCAGAAACAACTGCATTTTAAGAGGTGGGGGGAAGTCCATTTCCTACCAGTTCCTTTGGTTAATCAGCTGGGAGAAGGAAATGGGGAAAGAGCCTTCAGTCAACTTTTCCTTGCCCTCTCAGGTCTGTTTCTGATGCTGGGGTTTGCCACCTTGTCCTAATGCAACCAAATCCCAGCTGCTTGGGTGGAGGCAGTTACAATAACATGGAAGGCAGATTCCTGCTGAGCCAATCCTCCTTGTGCTCCTACCATTCCGTAGGTCCCTCAGTACTTGTGTGATAGAGTTTGCTCCCTCACACACACAGTCCTGCAAAGCACCTCGGGGCTTGGTTCACCAGGTCTGATCCAGTTAATGCTCCTAACATTTCATTCACTAACTGCAGAAGCACCCACATGTTTATAGAAAAGCAGATTCTTGCTCCAGGGAGAGAGTTTGTTCTATAGGTTCCTATCTCTGTCTTTTGCCTTCCTGGAGAACAATAAACCCTTTATAAGGGAGAAAGCAACAAAAAAGCCCAACACCTTTATGACTGTCACTGTTTATGCAACTAAAGGCACAAAGCCTTGGCTGTGCTTAATATCTTGTTTACCTTCTGGAAATGTATTTTGAGAGACAAAGGCACCTCCAAGATGGAGAATGAGCAGGAGCAAGGTGGACAGTGGGGAGTGGAAAGAGAGAAAAGCAG